TGTAGCCCAGATAGCCCATCATGAACCTTTGGGTGATAAGTAAAAAGAAGGAAAAATGAGAATGGCAATAGAATAATAGGAAGAATTATACGAATAGAAAAATAATAGCAAGAATAACTATAATAATAGACTCTAGGTTCAGTTGAGCTGTTGCTTGCACTCCCCGCCGGGGAGTGGGGCTCAAGGTAGCTTGCCAGCTGGCCATCTCCAAATACATTGTTGGAGCAAAGGAGGGGCTTCCCAACATTCGGGGTACTATCTTAGGGGTCCCTCTAATAAGGATTATAATATTTTTGGGATCCCATATTTAGGGAAACTACCATATAAGGGGCCTATTTGGATTATTGCAGAATGCGAACTTCTTCCTTTGATACTTCAATTCTTTCACCCTTCAAGCCCTTTCCAGCCAGCTGGAGCCAGCACCGCACAAGTTGCCAAAACTAGTTGAACCTCAGAACCAGAGCTACAACAAGATCCGTCCGCGGGGCGGAGGAAGCACGACAGTGTAGCCGGCAGTCCCAATTCCAGAAAACACCAGAACACAGGCCAGTCGTTTTGCAAAGGCCTGCAAGGGATGCCACAAGTCCACATGCTCGGCGCTGATGCGAAAACTATGCAAGCCAAGCTATGCCGGAGAAAATGCTTTCCACGCAGATCACATGTCATGCGTGGGCAAGAGATGAACTAATGCTGAGGTTGCCTTACTGGGAGTCTTTGCAATACGGGCGGGAGGGACAGCTTTAGTTCAGGCACAGATGACGTTGCAAAGCTGAGGCACGTTTTGCGAAAGTAAAGAGCAGGCAGACAATAAAGTTCGCAACCTGGGCTGAAACTGGCAAGGCCAGGATGAAATGTGTGAGGGGACTGTCCCAATGCAACAGAAAACTAACAAAGCAAAGGTCACATGGGCATGTGCCAAAGTTGCGATGTGATTCCCAGGGAAAATGCTCGTATGAGAAGGATACCCGAAAACCCTCGCGTTAGCAAAGACCCACCTTCATAACCCCAACTCCATTCGGTTCCACTCCCATTGCGAAGACATGATGACTGGGATTTTGAAAGTGTTGATTCCATTAGCAAGTTTTGTTGCTGGAGCCAAGAGTCGGGTTTGAGGGCACAGCAGCTGGCTGCTCTGCATGCCTGAAGTACGGGACTATGCGTGCAATCCTGCTACTGTAGTCCCCCTTACGCAGATGGAAGATGGCTTTGGGATGCTTTGGGTATATTATCCCCAGATCCCCATATACCCCATATTCGATCTACCAAAGGGGACTATACAATATTCTGAATCTGTCTCATGGCTCACACCTTCATACCTTCAAAATCAGCAAAGAGACTCTCAGGAAAGAGCTGTGCTGCCCTTTGCTAGGAGTGACAACTACGGTTCACTTGTAGCAACTTGTTCCTACTGTAGCATGGCATAATATAGTATATTACGGTATATTATAGTACATTATAGTATATCACAGGATTGCCGGTCACGCCTCCTCGAACTTTCTGGGAAGATGAGGAACAGGTATGCTAATTTTGCCTTGGTTGCGCGGTGTTCGCACTGTAGAGTAATTACTCAGTCATGATTGTTCGCCCTGCTGCTTACTGGCGGTTAGCAGGGAAGAGGGCATGTATTATCTATGGGTTATATGGGGAGTGCATTCCCCTGTTCCCTACTCAGCCCCAGCAAGACTGTAGTGCAGGGAGGGGGCAGCGCCAGCTATGATCGAGATTCCGAGAGCAGTACCACGAGGAAGCATGTAACCCAGCGGCATCCCCTTGGCTCAGAGTTACCAAGCACTCACCAGGCGAATCGCAACGCAATGAGCTATCCGATAGCTACGAAATGAAGGCCCAAATGAGCTACAGTCTAAACTCCTGGCACCCCCCTCAATAGCCCGTATAGTAGTCCCCACGATAATCCCTTATATAACCCCCCCTTGAAGACTCTAGACCATGGCTCAAATGATAGAAGTGCGTATGTCACGCATGATTGGATCATCTGCCAAAAGGACTCCCAGCGCCCCATTCAGCAGCAGGTTGCTGCGTAATGTACCTCCTGAGCCTTTGGTGTACTTCAACCAACAGCCAAGGTAAAATCTCATAAACACGGATAGGCTCCGACTTACTGCTGGATAGCAAGGACTGAAGGAACGGATCTTCATAGTAGTCGCCACATGAAAGCCCACAAGAATATGATAGTATCCAACTCTTTTCCCTTCATTCCCTGAGAACTAGAGGGGAGCCTAAAATCTAATTGATGCATCTGCTGAAAAGCTTACCAAAAAGTAGGAAAACGGCCCATTTAACTTGCCATCTCCAAGCCACCAGCGCGAATAGCACCATTGTTGCTGCCATGAAAGTTCCGTATGCACCAGCCCGCTCCTTTCAAAGCGGCTGAGCTCTGTCACTCATCCCCCCACCACCCTGACTGGCAAAACTTCATGTCAGGATGCCCATGGGATGCCAATTGCATTCGGAAGCCCCAAAGATTTGCAAAGCTCTACTCTCGAATATCGTTTTGGTACTGCTGACTGTAATCGTATCCGATCTACGTTGGGTTCTGATAGACATGCACGCGTATCATACTGTTCAAAAATTCTATGGTACAATAGCAACAAACAAGAACAAAAATAAGAATCACAATGACAAGAGTAGTAGTAGTAGTAGTCGTCGTCGTCGTCGTCGTCGTCGTCGTCGTCGTCGTCGTAGTACTAGTAGTAATAGTAGTAGTAGTAGTAGTAGTAGTAGTAGTAGTGATAGTAGTAGAAGTGTAGTAGAAGAAGTAGATATAGTACCAGGAGTAGTAGTAATAATCATGGAAGATAGTAAGTACGGAAATAATCGTAATAACAATTTTAAAAGACATGCAGTAGTAAACCTAATAATACTGAAGTGCAGCAGATGTGAACTGGGCAAAGCAGCGGGTCCAGCCTGAGGATCTTCAATGACGTCGCTCATCATCGCAAGATAAACCTGACTGTTACTATAACAGCTTTTAGAATTGTTGGAACTGGTACAGTTGCTACATTCATTTCTATTATTACCATTAGTATCAATCACTAGTATTAAACTTAGTAGTAATTCAAATATTTGTACAAATACTGTTGGCACACACTGGGACGTAGGGTCAACCCCCATGGGGGTGTACTGACATGAGGGCCTTGCGGTATCTTGCCTAGCTCATGACAAAAAAAACGTGCATCTCTTTGCTGTCTGGAGGACGACTGGCAAGAAGAGCCCTGCTAAAGCGGGTTTACCACATCCTTCCGCATCCAAGTGGCCCCATTGATATCGAATGCTTCCACCTCGGTAGGGCTCCAAGCAAGAAGAAAGCTCGCATGTTACAAGGGCTGCTGCAATTTCTTGAAGACACTTCACCACGTCTTCGCATGACGACTACTTACTACTTACTACTTACTACTTACTACTTACTACTTACTACTTACTACTTACTACTTACTACTTACTACTCTCGCACTGCAAGCCCCTCAGCTCCTCACGACGGGGTGGAGGATCAAATACAGCCAAAGCGTCACGCCTGAAGAAGCAGGGAACTGGATGGGATCCCTCTGACGTAACTGGAATTCTGACTGTTGTGGTTACCAACATGTCTTTTCTATTGCTTCTACAAAAGTCTTATCCGCGCAACGTACTTGTTTTGCAAAGGCGATAGAGCTGGGCTTGAACGTCCATCAATTTTGCACACAACAGAACCGGCTAATTAAGTTCATCAAGAACGGGGTGGACCTAGCAGGTACCCTGCAAGGTTCCACAGTGGCTCATCCCTCCTTTGGCCAGCTCTCTTGGAACCCTATGGCTGCTGGCTGCCTCCACCCACATGCAGCGCTATTGCCAATGTTGGCAATAGCCTGAGTCTTGGAAAAATGGATGGGCAAACATGCCATGCGGGAAATGCTGGTAATGGCCCCTTCTGAAGGGATAGGATCGTGATTGGACTTGTGCGAACCACATCAGGGGCACTACGTCAAAAAAGGCATGCTCTCAACACACCTCGGGCGGATGTGGAAGCCATCCACTAATCTAATAGTACCAGTGATAGTAGTAGTAATAGGAATAAACATAACCATAGTAAGAGCAACAGAGATAGTAATAACCATAGTGATAGTAATAGTAATAGGAAAAGTAATAGTAATAGCAATAGTAATAGCAATGGTAACATAACAGTAGTAATAATGATGATAACAACAGTAATAGTGACAGTTATGGCCAAAGTAGCAATAATGATAACGGTTAGCAGTGTTACTGTAATGGCTAACCCTGACCAGGCCTCAGCAGGTCACACATAGGCTGCACAACAGAACCGTCTCTCTACAATACAGTAAACTGGTTCTTAGTAGGGAATAAAGGAATATCCTACATAATTTCTCTGTATGATATTCCCTTATTCCCTACTAACAACCAGTAAGTAGAGGGCCTAGGGCCTAGGGCCTAGGGCTCAAAACCATGCAACTGACCATTCGCACAGCAAGGACCGCAAGGAAGCTAAGGATGGCAATTTAGAAAGACTCCACGACAAACTGCACCGGCAAGTATCTAGACGTCCATCGCTGTGCTAGTGTGCTGTGGTGCTACATGTAACAGTTGACAATGTGAACTTCAAGGGTGCAGCTGCAAAAGCCATGTCGCCATGATCAGGGTTCTCGTTGCAGTAGCTACAACCCCTTCTCTCCCCGACTCTTCCTCCAGTAGCAGGAGCCTTTTCAAAGGCGATGCACCCAATCAGCACCTCGCACGGAGCCTGCAGGTGGAAAAACTGCTTTAAGCAAGCGACCTGACCTGTATGGCTGAAATGTGGAAGACGGCAAGGTGTCTTCTGCTCTCTGAGAGCAGAAGACACCTGCAACTGTACATGTGTCGAATGCCGGTGCGGGGCCTGTGCGCACAGAAAAATACCCGGCGTCAGAGGCAACTGATCCCTCTAAGCCGGGCACTCCCCGACCAGATTGCCAACACAACAGTAGGCAGAAGCTCAGGGCAATTGGTTATCACTTTGCTGACATGTGTCGGATGGCTGAAGCCATTGCGGCCGTGAGAGACTGCTTTGTTTGAGCCCAATCCCAGGGCCGAGGTTGACTTCGCAAAGAGGTTTTTGGCGGAGCCAATGTGTCGTAGGTGTAAGGCCCTGAGTGAAGTCCATCTGCCGCCAAGACGTCCGCGTTCGTGAGGAGATGGTCATCCTCAAGCCCCAGCAAAGCTCCCTCGAAGGGGTTGGCCGCCCCAACCACATCCTCAAGACCATGGCCCTTGCAGGGAAGGGAAGGCTGTAAGAAGCCAAAGTGAGGAGCCTTCTCTTTGTGCTTCTGCTGCCAAGTCATCAAGTGCCGATCTACGTTGGCATGGTGGAAGAAGAAGATGGGGTCGTTGGGAGATGTCCAGGCATCAGCGAAATCTCCGTATGTGGGCGCCTTGTGGGCCAAGACTCGGTCCTGAGCTGGTTTGATTCCGACCAAGAGGATGTACCAGGCTACGAGAAGAAAGGGCTTACACACTCACAAATACGCAGGAAAACAGAAGGCACTAAAGCAATCTCCGAGCCCAACCAGGTGTCTGCCAGACAGCGCAGCTCTTCAGACCGGCGGCAGGCACAGGATCGCTGCGCCTGAGGGCAGGCAAGGCTGCTTAGCTCCCCAGGAGGACATCAGGTGAGTAGTGGGGCCTACCTTTGCAAGACAAAGACCTGGCGCTCCTCTGTACACTAAGCAAGCAGACAGTTAGCCCATGCAAATGTTTTTCAGAGTTGTACTAAATCCGTTGGAAAACCACGCAGGCCCAATTTCTTGCCTCAACTAACCCATGTGCAGCGTGCGCCTCACGCGGGTCGGAGCAGTTGGTGTTGCACTGAAGGCAGCCGCTGCCCCAGGCAGCTGGGATGCCGACGGCATTGGTCAAATAACCTTATTTGCCCAGCTCACAGAGTGGCACAGAATGCAAAACAGGTTGACCGTGCTTTGCTGCGAGGCGCATGATGCCACGATCCCCAAGTCTGCACGGCTTAGCTTTCCCTTCGGGGACTCTCTTACTCAAATAAATCAAAGATTTATTCGCTGCGCTCTCAAGTGGCATTCTACTCGGGAGACATTGCGCTCCGTATCCCAAACACCGCCCAGGAAGCTGTGGGCCCATGTGTGAATCGTAGGGTCAATGCATGCATACCACTCCAAGTAGGAGGGTGCCTTCATGCACAGCTCCCAAAAGCTGGCTTGGAAGTGGGTTTGGGCGCCACATGAGAAAGGATGTCGGGTGATAAAGGGTGAAGGGTTGACGTTCCAAGGACTTCGCAGGAGACCGTAAGGGCTCGACAGGTTGGAGATGTTCTGAGCCGCTCGAACCTGGGCCGTTGCTCAGGGGCAGTCCTTCAAAGGCGTCCTCCTTAATAGGTAAAGAAACAGAACTTGCTCAAAGAGGAGCCAGGAACTTGCCAATGTCCAAACCTTCCGTCCTTGACGGCAAAGCCCTGAGCGGAATCGCCTTCACTGCTGCCGAACCACTCCCAAATCTCGCTCTTCCTCGGGTCCTCGCTCCGAGCTTCCACGTTGTAGTCCCAGTATGGCAGGGCACCGATGCTTGGGTCAACGGAGAGAAGGCTCTCCTCAAAGCGGAGGGTGAAGGCACGGTGGTAGGTGGCAAAAGCCTGTCCAAGGTGAGCCTCGTCACAATGCTTGGCAGCCGCTGCTTCCAAGTGCTGTGCCACCAAGTCGTCGTATGATACATAGAGGCGGCCAAAAGTCTTTTGGCCCTCCTTTGTGGATGTATTCTTCATGATATTCATGGCACTGAACACCCGATCCCGCTCCAGGGCGGAGAGGCTCCGGAGCTCTCTGCGCACTCGCCTTGGGCCAGCCTTGGTCTGCGCCCGAGCTGGCGCTTGTAGCACCCGTGCCTGCAGCTGCGCCGGTCGAGCTGATGGCCCAGATGGACAATTCCAGGCCTCCCCACCGAACTCAATCGCTGACTGCGTGAACTCAATCTTCTCCTCAAGCTTGTCGTGCAGAAGGCCTTGCAGGGACGTGACAAACTGACGGCAGGCAAATCAGCAGGTCGGGTACCTGCATGTCGATCATGTTGCAATGTCAAGTCCAGCCTGAATATGCCTCTGCAGTGATTGTGGCACGGTAGCTCTCAAAGGAATCTGCCTTGAAACCAGTCATGGTAGGGCCCTGCACCTTGAACAATCCTCCATTCTCTTCTGAGCTGGCCTGACAGGGCTGCTGCTTCCCCACGTGCCGAAGCCCCAAGTGCCGAAGCCCCAAGTGAAGAAAGCATGTTCCCCAAGCCCGGGCCCTCTATGGCCTGGACGGAGAGGCGGAGCATCCGATCCGGCCTCAAAGCCGTGATGTTCAAAATGCCCTTGCAGGCATCGTTTGAAACCCAGTAAACTGCCGGATCCTGTGGATGAAAGTCCCAGCTCCTTGGATTGCGGGAGGCTAGTGACTAGCGCAGCTCGCAGCTCGCAGAATCAAGGGCATATGTGTTCTGCAGAATAACCGGAATCATCCTAGCTCAGTACACCACGACATCACATTGAGACCCCTCCCTGGCATCTGAGAAACTCAACTGCTTGAATGGAATCATAGACAAAATTTGTTGCACAAAAGACGTATCGCCCACGCCTTGGGCAAAGCAGCCGAACCCTGCCTGTTTTCAGACTAAGGCTCAGCTTTGAAGTGCGGAGCCCAAGCAGGTAGGCATCCGGAACTGAGACTGGGCCCAGGGGCACGGTTCCTGAGACATTTATGGGATAGGTTTCCATGAGGTCCGGTCCTATTGGGCTGAATCCTGTGGAGTAGGGCTTATTCTTAAATCGGCCCAGGCTCCTCCAGCAAATGCCAGCTTGTTGGTACCTGTGCCACATAGGACGACTCCATGACGCCCAGCAGGTAGGCATCCCCCAAACCCTAATCCCTAAACCCTGAACACTAGATAGTAGTCTCCATTCATTTTCCATTGTCCCAGTATAAACTCAATATAACCTAATCTTACCCCAATGGGTACCTATCTCCCAGCAAACGAGGGCTAAGTAGAATGCGCCTGGCCTTGAAGTCCTTCTCCCCAGGTCCATGCCTTCGGAAAAGACTCTCCCCAGTTCTTCTCCTGCCATAACTACAAGCACGACTCAGCAGTGTGTAGTGTCTCCGGCATGCTGGCAGAGGAGGGAGGAAAGGAGCAGGAGCAGGAGGACAAGGAGGAGTTGTTGAGGGGCAGCTGTCATCGTTGTGTTCATCATCCCCATCATGAAAACCATCTAGCCGCTAGAATTACAAAAGGCCTTCTCGGCATCCTCTGGGCGCTTGCTTATCCATCACTGGGATAGCCATGAACTTGTTTGCTTCTAAACAAATGATGCTATGCAACTCCTTCCACACAGAAATGAACCATGGTGCTGCTCCTGAGGCTCGGACTTTTCAAAAACTGATATACCAACAACGATGCCCTAAGATCTGAGTCTCGGTAACAGTGGCTTCGCTCTTCTGAGAAACCGCGTATAACCATTAAGGGTCACAATCCCGAATTTCCGATTGAGGCCCTCCTCCAACCAAGAAACCATCTCCCCCCAAACTAAACATCGTAAGCCGTGAGCCTTATGTACTGTGTAGTCCCTGCAGCCCCTAGGCATGGGGTTACGAATCCCTGGCAAAAACCCTGGATGAATCTGCTTGATGACACCCTACGTAAACCCTAGACCCCAAACCCGAAACCCTAAACCCTAAAACATGCCTAAGCCCGAAACCCTACACCCAAAAGCCTAAACCCTGAACCCTAAACCCTAAAACCCTAGATCCTAGACCCCAAACCCGAAACCCTAAACCCTTAGTAGGTCCTGATGAGCGAGGCCCTGGCCGAAAACCACACCACTCGGCGTCTCCAGGCGAAAGCTTGCCCTCGAACCCAAAGAGTAAACGTACCAATGAAGCGCCTCGAACAAGGGTTCCCAAAATTGGCGACCCTTGTTTGGGGTCCCTAAAATGAGGATCGCAGTAGTCGTCAGCAAGGGTGCACGGTTTCGTTCCTAAATCCGAGAATCGGCCCTTCAGGCACTGTTTTGGGTCCAGCTTATACAGCTTTAACGAAGTTTGGGGCCCTTGAATTAGCTACCCTGGCCCTAGTTCGGATTCAAGGTCGGGTGCTGTGTTTGGAGGCCCCGTCTCATGTTGGAACCTTTGAAACACTTGATGGCTTACATGGCCGCCGGGCTTGCTGGGGAAGACGCTACAATAAACGAGAAACCCCAACCCTAAACCCTTACACCCTAAAATGGGCTGCTGTTAAGAAGCTTAAATCAAGTTACTACACTAAGGAAACCTTATCATTCATCATGTACCCATATTATGGCAACTCATTTTAAACTCCTTCACAGCAACCGAGTAAACTGCTTGCAGCCCCGGGCGCCAGGAGCGGCAACTTGCCAACCCACCCTTCGGGCCCCTGGCCAGGAGATCCCCAGGGAACCTGCGGCTGATATAGACTAGAGGCATATTAGTTGTCGGTTGCTAGTAAGGAACTTAGAGTAAGTTACCATAATATGGGTATATAACTATAATGCATATACTATCAAAAATACTCAGAAGAAGAATAAGGTTTCCTTACTATAGTGACTTAAGTTCCTTAACAGAAAACCAGATTATGGGACGCCAGTGTCATGCGTGCTGGTGACATAGTGGACTCTAGGTTACAACCTGGTGATGACTTGAATGTTTTCCGACTTCTGACTTGAAGCCCCCAAACCGAGTCTCAATGTTGAAAGCTGTAAAGGGCACGTGCTAGATATCTGTCGTATCTCCAAGCGTCACGCGTAGGAGGAAGCTGTGAATTTGGACAATGACAAAAATGACAAAAGGCAAAACTCGCTTGCATCCTAGACCGGAGCCTCAAGCTCTAGACCATAAACGCCAAACCCTCAACCCTTAAGCCCTCCCACCTCAAAGCCCATTCCCCAAACCTTGAATAACCCCTCCTACCCACCCCAATGTTAGATATTCTCATATATTATAGTATACCACAATGGGAAGGGGTAGGGAATCAGTACCCTAAGCTTCTCAGGGGACGGGATCGCTGAGGTTGGCTTCGAAGCGGAAGCCCTGCGACGGGAAGGACATGGAGATCCGCTGCTTGGTCCCCTGCTGCCTCAGAAAATCAGGGAATATGTTTTGTGTATAAGCAGTTTCAAGCGTTTGGGATTAATTTTGCGGGGTAGTGTTGGGCTTGCGCCACTTGCAAGGCTTTGCATTGCAAGGTTGGAAACTGCAAGGTTTGGAGTCAAGACTTTTTAGTTTTCGGAGTTGATGCTTTAGCATGGATCCTGAGTAAGGCGACTACCTGAAAATATTATGATCATTTGATGACCCTAGAATCTGAGCTCATTATTTGGGAATCATAGCTTTTGAAGAAATGTTCCAGGAAGATTTTTCAAAGGCAGACAAAGATCATCTTGGACAACCTCTGGCAAAATGTTCTCTAGCTTCAGGGGCATCACGGAGGTACGTGACTCAGATGGTTCTACTTCCAACGTATACTTCCGACGCCTAGACTGGTTTGAACCCATTTCTGACTACAGCGGATGGCGGTTCACGCTGTCAGCTAAGGCCTCCAATCTACAAGGCTCGCGAATATGCAGCCAATATCGACGTGCTATGTTTCCATTCGGTTGTTGTTTGATCCTTTGCCTCATCATCACCATGCCATCTCCATCGCTGACTTCAAAGTCCGGCTCAGAGGTATCGTCAGGATCAGATGCGATCTCCTTCCCGCGCTTCAACACCTTTCAGAAGCCAAGACGGTCAACAAGCACGGGGACGACGTGTAAGGATGCACAATGATTAAGGTTCCCGACAAAGGGGATTTCACGGATCCCTACTTCAGGATACCTCCAGCCCCACCTTGAGGGCTGTGGGATTCACCTCGGCTACATCGACCTTGCCTTTGCCCTCGTCAATGATGAGGGCTAAGTAAGCAGCGGCGTCCTTTAAGCGGTCCGTTTTTGGGTAATGCCCGATGATAAGACCGATGGATTGGCCGGATGAAGTCTCACTGATTCGAGTGTACCATCCCTCGAACCACGGGCTCTTCTGCGGAACGTGGGGGTCGTACTGAGATGCCCACGCCAGAAGCCCGTGGGTAAGACACACTCGAAGAAGGGCAGCCATAGCAAGAGGCAGCAGTAATCTGTATTGAATACCAAATGCGCCAAGTCTCGTAAAAGTTGCTTGTAGTCAGAACTTGTGCGCCTGTTCTAAATTTCTCAACGACCAGCATAGCTTCCATTCGAGCAAAGCCCTGGGGCACGGCGATATGCAGCGCGTCAGGCAGAGCCTACGAGTAAGGATTGTATGAAATACAGGGCCACAGCATAGACCCCAAAGTACTACAGTTCTTACTGTGGGGATCCCAACCTTGTCATTTCCATTTGATTCTCCAGTATTTGGATAGTATCCCTGAACCCGCGAAGAGCTCTGAGATGCGCTGAGCTGGCGACGTAGCTGTGCCAAATGCCCGCAGCACTGGTCTCCGCCCCAAACTGTCACTGTAGGATCCCAAACAAACCTGAGCTAGAGGGATTTCTCAAAGTAAGGGGCGCTTAGGCACACTGGACATGCATGGGGACTTTGAGAGGATCATGGGAGTCCATATTGTGGGACTACAGGCGGACTGGGAGCCCAAGCAAACTTGAAAACAAACCAAGGCGAGGTCTCACTACCGCAGCAGGTGCATCAACCACAGGCCAGGTTGCCATGAGGATGAAGGGCCCACAAGATACTTCTAACAGTAACCTAACGCAGACTTTGGTAAGAACTGGGACCTGTCTGGTTTCCACAACAGGTCCCACATTGGACACGCGACCTCGAAATCTCAATCCAGCATTTCTGACAGGGCACAGCCATGAACATGGCCACCGCGTGTGCCTTGCTGGAGATTTGGTCAGGCTTGCTGATCGTACAGGTATTCACCGGGTATTCCAGTGCTCGCGCATCCGAAGTCAACCTATACCAGCTGAGGTATGCGGAGTTTGGTAAGTGACTCAATCTAAGATCAGCAATGCAGAACATGCAGTCCGGCCCAAAGCAAATGCCCACATCTCCTGGCTGCTCTGAGTTGCTGCTGCGTTGGTGAAGCCAAATATCTCAGCAGCATATGTCGCACCTTTTCGGCAAGGATCCGAGAGCGGATGGGCCTGGCAAGCACAAACGCAGCGTGCATATGTATTCAACTCGACACAAGCACACGCCAGCAAGCACGCGGTAGATGTTTGATGTCCAAGGTTCTTACAGGAACCTTTTCAGAAGCATCCACAAGTAACGAACTTTCAAAACCCACAAAGCCTAAGCACGGCTCATTCAAGCTTGTGAAGGGCTTGCTGTGGGCATTCCAATATGGGAGCGCATAAGGAAGCCTCGCAATCATCTCCGCCATACTTCGCCGCAAAGAACCTGAAGTGAGCATCTGCTGTTGCGGCAGACAAGGGGAAAAAGCAGTTCCAAATCTAAATGCCAAGTTTCTCTAGCTGGGATCAAAACCACCGTGTGGTGTTCATGTCTTAGCAGAGCTGTGGAAGCTGTCGAAAGATACTTGGTGTGTGATAAGTACAGATAAAAGGAAGAAACGGCATCAGAACCCGTTCGTCGTTCGTCCAAGCAAGCTGCGTATTTTCGATGTACGGGATGCTTGGCCCGATCCTGGATCCGGTATGCTGCGCAGGCTTGAACATAAGTATTTAGCTGATTTCCAACAGACATGCTGCCACTGAAGCATGTTGAGACGAACGAAAAAAATGACAAAAAAAGAAAAGGCCTTCCAAATTAAGGTATGTGTCGTGTTTTGGCAGACGCCGATAGCCATGTAGCCCAGAAGGTAGCGAAAGCTGTACCTCAGCTACCGAAGGGACAGTGCTGGCTTCGCCCTAAATCCTGCTACAAAGCAGCCTTTGCCTTCGTTCCCGAGAATTTGGGGGAAGTCCATTATTTTTGACGAAGAGCAACCCTCATACTAAGAACCTCATTTCAATTGCTGGTGTTATCAAACTTCCAAATAATCTTGAGTCAGAACGGCTACAACCCCTGCAGAAAGCTAATTTTGTCACGGGCTCAGGTGTCGCTTGGTCTTGCCCCATCTGGACTCTGTGCTCTTCTTCAAGCCCTCTGCTTCAGAGTCGTTATCCTTGGCTGCGAATCGCTCCTAGGCGCATGTTATTACAAACCATTGCAATCAGAAACTGTGACTATGAGAAAGCATGGGTTATAGCCAGTTAGCGCTTAAGTATCTTCCCAATTTAGACTACTAAACCACAGACGACCTAAACGCGAGGAAGAACGAATGCCCTTCCAAACTCTGTGGCTTCAAGGCAAGCTGAGCAATCTTGTAGGAGTTTAGATGAGCTACAGTCAATATTTCCCCTATGATTAATTTATGGACTCTTAGAAACCCCTATAGTAATCCCGTATACGAGCTGCAGTCATTTTTCCCATGCGATTGATTGACATGGGCTTCTATTTTGGGATGTATTTGCCACTATGCGAAACTACCAAACGAACGGCTATGTCCACTCTTAATGATCCATTGGTAGCAACGACAGACTAGCGACCTCCCCTCACATGCAAGTCTCCTATCTCAGTCGTGTTGTACCCTTCTTCCAATCACTTACTTGTTACGGAGTGGGGAGGTCATGACTCCCCTATAACCCCTAAACCCAAAAACCCTAAAACCTCAAACCGTAGCCTGTAAACACTAAACCCTTGACTTGGAAATCAACCTGGCATGCCCAGACTCCATCGGACAGTACTCCGAAGAATTTCTGATAGACGCGTCATCGGACATGAGGATGTCTTGCACAAGTCGGGCTGTGTACTTTCGGGTGGCAGATTCTGCGCGTTCTACTCACACGAACCTGTGCTTGTGCATCAGCATGATTAGCGAGAGCAAGGCCAATAGCAACCCTAATTCCACCACTAATGAAAGTGATGATGGCAATTGCATCACATATTGACGTAGGAAAAAGCTGCAAGAATGCACATGGCGGCAAGAACTGACAACAAAGAGTCGCCTTTCATGTGAAAACTTGCTATGCAGTGTGCATTCTGTTTGGGAGGTCGGAGTTCGCAGAAGGCGGAACTCCGTTCCTACAAACCCGTAGAGGCAGTATGTCAGGAAGCCATTAAAGTTCTACGGTACTGCTAAGTGGCGACACTGAAGCTCAAGGCCAGCTGCCCGTGATGATGGCTTTTATATACCATAAAATATTATAATACACTATGCTATAGTATACCATACCATAATACACTACAATATGCTATAATATACTATATAGGCTCTAATATACTGCAATATCCTATAATATACTACAATATACAAAATGCTGCAGCCGTTGCTCTGCTTGCCGCTGCTGGGCCGCTTCCTGCCGGCACCCTGATCCTTGTCTCACTCAACGGATCCATACGTACCTGGCTTTGGGTTTTTCAAAAGAGCCCCACATACCCTACAGTCCTCGTGCTCTCCTCAGGCAATCTCGTGCGGTCTTGTTTGCCCTGTAGCATCACGCAGGCGGCTCAAAACTGATCAGTTGAGTCAGTTGAGTGCTACCACTTGCCACGGGCAGCATCTACGCATCTAAGAAACGTGCTAGCAAGCGCAACTTCTCTCGGAGAAGCACCTGCCGCATGAGTGAGTCACAGATTTGGCCACTGCTTCTTCGCAGCAGTGCAACAGGATGTGGTGAGATCTCATCCTAGGAAAACGTAGATCACCCGAATCACATCATGGAGCCCATACTTTTGATGCTGGTCCTTCCTACAGCAGCTGTTCATCCACAGCTTCTGAGCTAGCTATGTCCTATGGATACAGTACTACTGTTTCTGCTGCTATGGAAGTTGCTGTTGCTACTCTTTCTACCTTTCCTCCGAAGTTTCTATGGCAAAGCATGGCTGACATGGCCTTGTGCTCCAATACATGAGGGGCTATCAAAAACATTGTTGTTAGCTTCTTTTTATGGATTCTTTGGGTTTTGACAATTCGAATGATGCAGCACTCTAGTTTTGCTTCTTAGGGTGCTCTGCACTCGCTTGTCACACAAATCTATACTGCGGCGAGTTAGTTCGCCGTCCAGTTCTGGGGATCTTTGGAAAACGGCATGCAGACCTCCCCAGAAAGCCCGTAGCCCAGAATTGTGGTCTACTTTTGGGGCCAATATCCCCCGTACATAATATAACCTCCCTATATAACCCCTATATAACCCCCGTATATAACCCGCTAAATAACCCCCATATAACCCGAGTTTAGGAATCAGGGCAGCTTCTTCTGATCACTTCTAGCTGTCATTGCCAGTTCTCTGTGGCAGCTGGGCTTTCCAAGTCAACTCTAAAAGAGCCAAGGGTGGGTTTAGAGGGTTTAGGTCAAGCGCTTCAAATTTCGTGCAAGGTGAGAAAGTCTAGCCTAGCTAAAACGCATATAAGGAATAGTAACCCGAGTTATCCCCATTATTAACCTTGTTACTGATTCCCCCGACCCTAACTATAAACCCCAAACCCTTAATTAAGCAGCTTCCATCTTCTTTTTCATTATCAACCTACTGGACCGTCCAAGCAGGGGGAAGCTAAGGGCTGACTTCACCCACTTTTGGGGAGGATTTACCAACCGCAACAGCCCAAACAAGATCTTAAGGGACATCCCATCGCGGCCCATGATTAATCCGATAGGCAGCCCTGACCCTCTGCTGTACCCAAGGCTCTTTTCAGTTTTTAAAATGCAGGAACACTGGGGTCTGAATTTTCAGAGGCACACCTGTCGAGAACATTCGAAGATTCAAGCCGTGTTGGCACGGCTATTCAAACTTCAGCAAGCTTTTAATCAGAGCGAATAGGAATTTGTAGTGGCTGATGGGGTGCCGCAAGAATTACAGAATGCACGATAATTTGTCCGGGCATCATTGTAAGGCCTACGCGATAGTGGCTGACCTCATCCATGAAGTGTTCAGACTCCTGTATTAGCCAATCAGCCGTTGCCCAGGCTCAGAACTTGGAGCTCAAATTTCAGGTCCTGCAGGATACGCGCAGAACACCCTCAATTTTCCCTGCTGGGGCTGCCCCCGATCCATGAAATCGACACCACGTCATTTTGGAAATTCCTTTTAGTTGGGGCTGTTTGGTAGCAATACACGCACTACGCAATGGAGGAAACAGCATCAGTGGCACCACACGTAGCAGCAGCTCAGTGACCGCGGTACAGGTCGAAGAATTGATCGTGGTGGCAGTGGCGGTGGCGATGGCGGGTGGCAGTTTCCGTGGCGGGTGGCAGTTGGCAGTGGCAGGTGGTGGCTGGCGGCTGGCGCTAGCGGGGCAGGGGCTTTGGTGGTGGCGTGGCCGTGGTGGGGAGGTGCAGTGGTGGCAGTGCCATTGCCAGTGCCGGTATGATGTGGCCGGCTTTTATGCGCATCGGCTAGGGGCGAAAACGCGATTTTTTGTTGTTTTTGAATTGGAGTGCATGCCGTGAACCCGAAAAATCAAGAATTTGGCTTGAGGAAGAACATCTGGGAAATTACCAACTTGTACGATTTGCGTGGCGAAAATTTGCATTCTTTTGCGGAAATCCACCGATGTTCTACGATTTTTTTGTGTAGTCTACCAATGTGTGCGAAAATCCGCCAACCTGCGGGGGCGTGTTGGATGGTTTCAGTAGACGGAGACGGTGAAAACCCTCTTCTTTGGTCCCTTACAGCTCAAAAACGCGAGGGGGGGAGGGGGGCTAGACATGAGGTGACTCGGCCGAAGCATTTTTGGATGCGCAAAGTGGCGCGCAACAAGTTACGTGCAGCATTTAGTTGACTTAGCTGGTGCGAAGGTGAGGGTGCAGCAGCAGCAGCGTGATATAAAAAAGTAGGAAATGGAGTAACAGTAGCAGTCGCATGTTTTTTCGGTATCGTAGGACGGGCAGCACCGTTGTTACAGAAGTATTCGGTTCTGGAGTGCGAGAGTAGAAGCAACACAGCAGCACTTGTCGCAGTAGATATCAAGCCCAACAAAAAGAAGAACATCATTTCCACCACCCGAGGGACCGCTGTCGGACTGCAACAACTTCTGTTCTTGATGTGGAGGCGGAGGCGTCGTCGGCAGTGTGCTGGCCTCAGAAGCGAAAGAATCAGCTGATGGGTTGAGTTATGGGCCCTTTTTGGGGGGGAGTAACTGTCGTTATCGTGAGGACCCTGCTATTCCCCCAATCTGCAATGCCGCCTTTGTGCTGAGTAAAACAAGACTTTTGAAGAACTGAAAAGGAGATGTCTGATAAGGACTGGGCCAAAAAAGCAGCCGCGGCAAAGAGGCATGCCTCGGATGCAAGAGCGAGCCTTTGCATGTAACGGAGCAAGTCTGCACCGAGCGCAAAGGTTGAAGAGTAAAATTTTAATCCATGGCCTCTTGCGACCATCAGCAAGCACCTTCCATACCCTTATTCTGATATCTATATCTACGGCGAAACTTCCCTAAAAATAGTGAATGTCATGAGCCTGAGCCCGGGGGCGAACCCGAACAGGGGCACGCTACATCCTCAGACAAGACAAAGAACAGCTCCTTTAAATGACTACAACCCTGAACAGCTGTTTACATTTCATGTTCATGTGCTATTTCCTTTGATTCTCCAGAGTTGGGGGAATGTCCCTAAAAGTAATCTCTGTATAATCCCTACCTAATCTTTCATAATCCTTGCCTGATGCCCTTTAAGCCCTACAAAAACCCCAAGTAACCCCATACAACCTCAAATCGAGCGAGCCAGACTGCAATGAGTGCAAACGAAGGAAGGACCCCTGCGACGGAGTCAACCTGCTGCATTGGCGGCTGAGACTAGTCCTGTAGCCATGACAATGGGAATCCCTATAATTAAAATAAGGATAGTAGTATCTTGGGATATATATTGGGGTCCCTCATTTTGGAAACGATCATATTTCCATGGACCCTACGTAGGCTTGGAGACACGCAACACGGGCTCGTTAAGCTGAAAAGGAAACACTGCATGACAGCTGGTCCCGGATTTGGTTTGATCCCCAATTTTGATCGTGTGTGGCAGGAGTCGTTAACTCGAGCAAGAAGGAACCGACTGGCTTGCATGCTTGCTCAGGTACAGGATCAGACTGGCCATCATCGCAAATAAGCACTCAGGGCGTGCTGATAAAAGTGGAATCATATTCACTATGCCATTCGAGTTAACTGTTGAATGACAGATGAGTGTCCAACCCGCCAACCCTTCACGCATATGTGTTTGGGATAGTAGTGGCCCTCATATAGGAGTTTTCAAACGTATGGTCCCTCTTTGGGTACACTAAAAGTGTAAGCTTGAAACCACCAGATCAGCAAGGCACAAGAGAACAGCTTTGTTCATGGCCGAGCCTTGCCGCCATGGCTGGTGAGCCCAAAGACAACACTGAAAAGCAGGAATCCGGCAGTGGCCGCACCCTGGCCAGAAATCTCAACTTGGCGGGCTGCTTAGCCGGAAACTTTTGATTTTTCATCCAAACATGTCTATTTCAGGTGCAACAACAAGCCCAACCAATCTCTCAACCGCACAGCTCTTAAGAACCGGCCATCAGCAGTGAGAAAAGCTTATTGAACTTGCCTCATTCAGCGAACTGCGTTGATGATCATAGAGGCAACATGATGTAGTGATCAGGACAAAGCGACTGAGCTAACCTTGACCCCTGAGACCCAGAAAGTCTCCTTGGGGACGGAAGATTAGAAGCGAAGACTCATACGAATTACTGATAAAATGGAAGTTACTATAATGGGTAATATAGCGACTACTATAATGGGTAATATAGGGACTACTATAATGGGTAATATAGGGACTACTATGATGGGTAATATAGGGACTATTATAATGGTGTGCCTGATGTTGTCAAATGTCTCGCTCTCACTAGATAGATTTCCCCTAAACCCTAAGGCCTAGTAGTTATGGTAGGGACTTGTCGCTGCCTTTGTCATGGAGGCCACAGCACCCTGGATCAAGCCCTGCTCCACCGGGGAAACCAGCATGCTCTTCCTTCCCGGAAACAAGGCAAGGGCCAAGGCTTTCGGCTGTAGGGCCAAGCATGCATGCAAGGGAGCACTCGTGTTGTCTCTAACAGTTGCAGTAACTAGAAGCACTGCCGATTGCGAATCGCTGGCTTTAACCTGTGCGTTTCCTCATTTTCTCGGTGTTGCAATTGCATTCTTTTTGCTACACTGGTTCAAGACATTTGGCCATGTTCAGATCTAGGCACCTCTCCTCTCAACTGCAACAAATTCAGGATCCCTTTTCCCGAAGCAAGGCAGTCGATCACAAAATTCTATTGCTTGTCCCCTGTAGCGGCGGTCGCAAGGTTTTGAGACACCTCTCTGGTACACGCCAGAATACCCCGCCCATATTAAGATTAGGAGGGGTGCGGGTTGTAATATCAGGGCGAGGGGGTTAGGAAACTCAGCCAAGGCGCAGTGCTTGTACCAAAGGCACGGCCAAACCGATCGGGCCGACGAAGAGAAATGTGATCAGGGCTAGCTGCCACTGCTCCTGTCCAAACCCCCGACCCCATGGGTTTAGACTTTGGGGACAAAGGTTTAGGGTTCAAGGTTAGGGTTTAGGGTAATGAACAGAAGTGAAGTTTATGAGGGGGAGGGCCACCGCTGAATTCTTGTTTTCACCTAGAAGCTTGAGCATCCCCCACTCTTGTGAATCTTGTCTGGATCCTCGTAGGGGATCCGTTTCATTGTGGGGCTGACGTCCATGAAAACCAGTGACCCTGTGAATTGTGAAATTGCCCGCAAGTCATTCCTGCATTCATCGGGCTGGACAGGGAGCCTCGGAGTAACCTGCGATCCTGGCTTTAAGGCATCAGATGGTAAGAGCTGAAGTAATACTAGTAATAATAACAATTGTAAAAGTAATAATTTCAATACTAGTAACAATAATAATAATAACAATAATAGAAATACAAATGGTAATAGTAGTAACACTAATAATAGTAAAGGTATATCACTACTGTCTGGGGGGGTTGCAGAGCTTCGGCCATATTCGGAACAAGAACACCCTTCCTGGTTCTTCCAAATCCCATAGCTGCAAAGAAAATGGAAACTGATATATTATGATAGGGTATATATTGGGGTCATATTGGGATAATGGAAAAGAAAATTGCAGCTACGATTGCGTCTCCCATACTTTTTTCTGTTCAGCTAAAGAATATCTCCGAACCCGCCCACCACTGGCAGGAATTAGCTGAATACTTTCTCAGCCCAGCAAGAAGTCAGTGGCTCAGAATCCTGCTGACGTAGTCTCATACACTACCCCGGCGCTGAGATTGCTTCTGGGTGTTGCCAACACTGAGGGTTCAAGGTAAATCTACTTACTGCTGGTTAGTAGGGGATATTGGAATGTAAGTATGTGATCCCCATATAATCCCTACATAATATATTCCCTACTATCCCCCAGTAAGTCTACTAAGTCTGGCAGTCCTGACTGAAGGCCACGAAAAACGGAACCACCACCTTGGTACGTGGTCTTTAGGAAGGGTCAGTACACGGAGCGTGCATGTACACATGCCCGTTTCTTAGCCTCAGATTCCCAATCCACCTAATACAAAAACATGATGCATACATATGTAAGATGCTGCATCCAAAGAATGGAAGAGGCCCTTGTTGTTTTAATTGTCCCCCTTAAGTGGATAGAATATGGCTTTGGGTATGTTATAGTAAGATCCCCATATACCCCATATCCTATCTACTTAAGGGGGACTATAAGACAGCTTAAAGACTGAGGCAAAGGCGGAGGCAGCCAGACAAAGCTGAAGAACGCGAACTTGCCCAAATACTTTCACGGCTGGTCCCAGCAGGCAGGTGAAGGCGATCTCAGATGGCATCAAGACATATAATATGCAGAATATGATAAACTTTAGTTTGGTCTGATTTATACATATAATGGGCGAGAATAAATAGATGGGCTCAAAATTAGAGCCAGCTCAGCTTTTAAGACATGGGGCGGCATAGGATGTGACTGGGCTTTGGGTCAACAGAGCAAGTCCCAGAATGCAAGTCCAAGAAGGGCAAAGAACATGACAGGATTATCTGAGCTATAGTCTAGACTCCTTGTATGCCTGTTGTAGGCTCCTGATTGCTGCGCCCATGTTGCATACGAATCAAGAATCCTAATGTCAAAGGGAAGGCACAGTGATTGGGGGTCTACGCCTCCCTTCCTTCTATACAACAACTGTTGGAACATGGTCATGGTCATGGTCAGTATCCCGTGCATTTCAAACCTTACAAGGGCCCACGAACCGACAGGCTCTGCCAGGAGAAACTCAAAAAAGGACAGGGAGCTAGGCTACTGGCCTTCTGAACACCTTGCAGGGTCCTTGATTGTGCTGGGGCCTGCCAAACCTTGATAGGGACCATGAGGGCCCTTGACGGAGCAGCTCGCGTCTTTGCATTTTGCATAATTGTCGAGCCTATAGGATCCTTTGTCATGGAATGCAAGGATCCTGCTTGGGGGGCTTGGCACCCATATGGTCCCAGTTTCCATTGCATTTTCCATGTTCTTTTCAGTTTGATTCTCCATTACTGGGGCAATAGCCCTAAACCCTCTCTCTCTCTCTCTCCCAAAAATAGTTTCCGTTTTCTTTTCCATTCTGCTTATGTAACCTGAGCGCCTTGCGGGCATACCAAGGGGCTAGGGCGGAAAGCGCTGCTGAGCAAACCAGGATCAGCTTTTCGCTGCGGGTGAAGCCCAGGTATCCCATCATGAACCTGGGGTAATAGATAGAAATGCTAGTAAGAAAAATTGCAATAAGCATAATAGGTAACAATAATCGTAACAATAGTGGTACTAGTAGTTGCTGTAATTATAGCAGTAGCAACAGTAATAAAAGCGGGTAGGGACGTGGTGTGGGTCCAAAAATGAATTACATGGAGCCAAACGCCAACCTAAGAAGATGGCTATGGGGCTCGCCTAGCTGTCTTGTCCAGGGCTAGGCAGTTGGTATTCATGGGCTGGTTAGTGACTCGATCACATTGAGCCCGCTTACATGTTCATAGAGGTGCTATGGATACCGCCCCGCCCTGGACTGTGGTTGCGAAGGGCTCGGTCTTTGCAATGGTAGTGACAACAGTAGTGAGATTCTACGCCTGTTTTGTCCATGCTTGTTCTGGGGTGGGGCCCCAGCATCCAGAATATATTTCAGGAGCGGGCGAAGAAGAGGCACAGAAGGGCTCCGATTCAGACCGGGCACGGAGGCATCAGAATGGCGTAGCCGGATGCTGCTAGCGCAGCACAGACGAGGACCAAAGCAAGCCGGGAAATGAACGCCTTGGCTGTCAGCAAGACACCCAGGTGACTTCAGGTGTCCAAATGGCAACTGACATGTGCAAACTCTGGCTATTTTTCTTTGGGACTTACCTCTGCCAAGGTAGCGGGGAGGGGTGGGGACGCGGCTTCAACGCACCCAGCGCCATGTCTGTCGCACCTTACCTTTAGGCGAGCCACATTGCTATTCAGAAGGGCGAGGGCTGACCACGCAGAGGCGATCCTTGGCTTGGAGGCTGCAGGGACAAGGTAACATGCCAGGACTTCTGCATGCTGCAAGAGGACACGATCTATAAAGGTCTACCTAGGAGATTCTGTCAGGAGACTTTCCAGGTGTGGAGTTACCAGGTGGGTACGCTGAGGCTTGCACGAGGCCCATATGCGAAGACTTCTTACGAGCTACATAAGACTTACGTGCGTGGGAAAGCTGCCCACCTGAAATTTTGGCGACGTCAGGAGAGCGGTGAATCTAAAAGAAATTTCAGTCCAAGACATTGTTCCGCCCCACAGCACTTGCAACATTAGTTTGGTATGCCCCCGTCTTGGAAGGGGCCCCCAAAATCGCCTAATTGATGAAATCAGGCCCTGACAGGAAGATGTTGCAAAGCAGGCCACTCTCGCTACACACAAGAAATGGGCATACATAGGGGGTTTCTAGGGATGATGGCAAAGAAAAAAGGGCTTTAGGGTTTAGGGATACTGCCCCAGTAATTCCTTCAGCGTGCGAGAGTCCAGACCTAAACTCCTCAAGCCTGCACACCTAGCTGGATCCGTAAGCTCCCCAAAAGCTTCGAAAAATATGCCAAGTTTCGGATTGAAGGAACCACCTTTCAGCAAAAGTGGCTTGTCCTCGTCATCCTCATCCCTCCTCAGTTCTTAGCAGAAGCAGTGGTCACAAAAACAACTTTATTTGAAACAGTGTTGGGCCCTTTCAACAGGAGCTCAGTAAGGGGTACTGCACAAGCACAACCAAGGCGTATTACTGACAATAATACCATCCATAATATGGATAATGGCCAGGGCAGCTCATATCACCGTCATTTAGTCCATAATTAGTGGACCCCAATCAATTTAGACCCCAAAAGACTACAGTCCGTCATATAGGGGCCCCCAAAAAGGCATCCATAATTTTGGGAAACTCCCTTCTGCCTTATGACTACAAGCCTGCAATCCTCACGGACTAGCGGGTTGATCTCAGGTTGCAGGCTGACTTTGAACTGGGTTGCTGTCACGGAACTTGAACTAAGTCACCGCATTATGGGCATACAGTGAAATATGAGGTTTCCTGATTATAGTAACTTAACTTCCTTAACAGCAGCCCGGTGAAGTAGTGCCCACCATCCTTCCGGCATGCTCCGTGCACAGTCCACACGTGGGTGTTACTCAAAACTACGCCTATACAGTCCTTAATGAGGATGCCAACAATCCCGATATACCTCAAGGTCCCCAGCGTGCCCCTGTCCCAAACAAGCTCAAGTTGCAGTCGAAAAGGAAATGCATGCACACCCTTCAATGGCCACTTGCTCCGTTGAATAGCAGTGGGCCTCGAGACTTCATGAGCCTGCCTTTACGACGGGGTATCTTGTCGATACCGCAGTGCATTCAGTAACTAGCAGCTCCTGCCCAACAATGCGAGGCCAATTTTTGCTTTAATCTGAAGATATCTTGGACACTTTTGAAATAAATCCTTTTTTGGTATGTTGAAAGGTCCCGCCACCCAATCAATCAAGTCCCGCAGCAGTTGCTCAAAACAGTAAGCTCAAACATCCACACATTGCTGTTCTAAGCAAAACATGTGCTTCTTCATTCGTGCCCCTCAACATCTAGAAGATATTATAATCCTGTGCTCCTCATCCTGGGGATCCCGTTTTAGCTTACCGGTTCTTCGTAGGGAATAAGGGAGTATAACTACCACCCCTAAATAATCCCCATATTAAATGATACATTCCCTTCTTCCCTACTAAGAACCAGTAAGTTAGGGTCGGAGGCGAATTGTGCCGAAGCACCGTCGCTTCACGCTTTCAGGGAAGACGCAGAAGAGGTAGATCAGCTTCACCTTGCTGCAGCTAGGTAAGGATGAATCTAAACTCCTGGTATCCCCCTTAGTAACCCATATCGTAGTCCCCCATATAATCCTCTATATAACCCCCCTTTAAGGAGTTTAGACTATAGCTCAGGTAAAGATGTACTATGGTTTTTTTTTTCAAGCAAGCCTAATGCAAAAATGCGTTGGTTGAACGGGTTCAGAAATACTGCGAGTTTCGCCAAAAAATTGATGCCTTGGAGGGTTCCCTGTACTACTGACTACAACTTTAACTTTCAATGTCTAGTGAAAGACTGCCAGTTTGAGAGATTCCTGTTTCGGAATCAGATTTCTGCTTCTTGGGCTGGTTTATCGCTCAAGTATCTGATATGGCCAGCATTTACCATGCCTCTTGCCTTGCAACCAGCGGTAGGTAGAGATATTGTGAAAGCTAGCCACAGTCATCATGGATCCTCCCGTGCACAAACTTTGTGACCGAGCCCCTCGCCCAATGTGGTGTCTTCCGGGTTAGGCACACCGCTACACTGATACAGGACAGCTCAAATTAGAAGCAGTGCTCCCAGTGCCAACCGAGCATCGAAGCCAGCGGACAGCGACACCCAGAGCAGCAAGGAGGTGGGCAGAATGAAGCCCAAAGGCAGCACCTGTGAAGTGTCCAAGAAATCCACGGGAAGAGCAGCACCCCGAGGCCACTACACATCCACATACATCCACTAGACCCAGAGCGTCACAACTGCCCCTAGGCGCTGTGCAGACCAGCACCATGGAGGCTGCCATGAAGTTGCTGAAGGCTGTGGCCCGCTCCTTCACACTCCAGGGGTACGTAAACGATTCATCATCAAGGTTTTCGGCCATTGTTTCGGGACCACATGAAGCATCGATTGGGTGGGAACGCATGCGAGCTGCAGGGCAGGGTCTGTGACGATATGCTCAGCAGTCTGGGTCTGCCTGAGGATCGTCGATGGCATCAGCCATGATGGCCAAATAGACCTGAAGACAGGCCGGAAAAGACACAGCTGTTCCTCCAAGCAAAGTAGGATTAGGACCCTTCCTTGCACCTTAGGAACTGTTGGACTCCTCGCATGGAACCCCCTTACCCTACCTTTGCTTTCGAGAGAACCCACTCTTATCAACTTCCGGCCACAAAAATGCCACTGCTGAGTTTGCCTAGGAAAGCGGAAACACCTCCTAAACCTCACTTGCCGTGTAATTCACAGCAATTTGGTTCAGGTCTGGCATGTCTTCAGCGGAGCCACACCGTTGACGTCAAAGCACTCCACCTCATCACGGGCATGCAGTCTGTGCACCGGCAGTGCCCTGATTGAAATGCCCATTTAGGAGGATTCTCACGCAACTTGGGAAGGTGCAGGGTGCATTCAGGGGTTTTTCCTTCCTCCAGACAATGCTACGGACAGCTTAGGCGAGGACCAAAGGCTGCGCCACCAGGAAGACCCAAAGAGTCATGCCTGCCATTCACTGCCGCACAAGTGACGTTTTGCAGCCATCCCAAAACAAGGCAGCAGGAAGCGGCGCGGCTGCTACTTCAAGTTTTTATTAAAAGCAACAACAGTAATGACAACCATCTGTGTTTTTCAAACTGTCGACAAAAAGCCCCGCCATCGCATTGAGAAGTATTCCTGTTAGCAAACTCCTCATGATGGCGGCTTGCGGAGCGTACCAAAAACTGTGGCCAAGCAAACAAGCACAGTCTACACACATTCAGGACTCCAAGGCTGTGGTCTGGAGAAAGTCTTTCAACCTGAACTAGCAATTTTTGGGAGCAAAGGAAGCTTTGCAGGTCACACTGGCGCTGAGCAAGCAGATGTCCGAGCAAAACAAAACTTCTCCCACGGCCTGTGGTCAAGTGCAGAGCCAATGACACGCATGGAAGCAGCCTGGGCAAAACTAAACGAACAAGACTCAGTTCTGCCTTGACAAAGACCGTTAAATCACCGGACCTTACCAAGAAGGGGATCTATTCTGGACCAACACCAAACTCAAGATTCAAGATGCAGAGTTGAGCTTGGGAGGCAAGCAAGCCTCGCTTCTTCCAGGTGACTAGTTGGGAATGACAGAATAGATCCCTGCAGCAATCCTTATTACGGTCTCCCCAATGCTTTCCTGGCCTTTATTCCAAAGTAACCCACCAGCGAGTGAACCTAAGCCCTAAACCCCATGTATCCCTACAACCCCCCAGTTTCCATGTCATGTTCCATTCCATTTGCTTCTCTGTCAACCGCTGAACATTGAACCCTGTAGACACATTTGCCTGTCAACCCCTGAACCCTGAAGCCTGTAGACACGTTTCCCATAATGGAATATTGTATGGAACACTGGAAAAGAAAATGGAAACTACTATACTTTATTCTACTAAGGTATCCCTAAACCCTAAGCCCGAAAACCCTAAAGCCTAATCCCGAAATCCCAGAAATTGGGATAATGTAGGGGTTCTATGGGCCCTCCTAAAGTAAGTAAGGCTGAACCTCCCTGATTCCTGGACAGTGGCGTAGCTGCGCCGTAGAAGCGGACCAGGGGCCTCCTCCCCAGGACATCGCTGCAGGAGCCCAAGCAGACCTAGGCAAAAACCTACTTTAGGGTTTAGGGTTCAGGGTTTAGGGTTTAGTTAAGGGGAGTTGGGGGAGAGAATATAAGTACCATTATAGGGGTTTATATGGGGATTCTATAGGGATTTTAGATGAGATTCATTCCCCCACCCCCCCTTAAGGATAGAGGGGGAGTGGAGGATAGGTCCAAAACTACTGGGTGCAGTTCTAGCAAGGTTTAGGGTTTAGGGTGTGCGGTGTATGGTTTAGGGTCAAACCTTTGCAAGGTACCCGAACTTCTTCCTGCATCCTGTTGATGATGATGTTGTTCATGCAAAAACTACTCCTCAACGAATCCTTCGACGGTGCCTGTGTGCAATTCCGACATATAACTCACAGCATCCCTGCAGCAATCTTCAAATAATTTGGGCAGTATCTTAAAATCATTCTACCTCTTTAAACCCTTCTGACTCCTAAACACTTCCACAGGCTTGCAGGCATCTCCACCTGGAGTATCCCGCGCCAGTTGAGCACTGGGGCAGGGGCATTCGTGAAGGTTCGGAACTAGGCTGAACCCCAGACCCTACATCCTGAACTTGAACCCCTCAACGTAAAGGCCTGCTTTGACCCTAATTCCCTTACTTTGGCATACTCTAGCCCTGGAATGAATCCCAAGATAAACCCTCTTACAGTGGCTCGCAAGCAGCCCAGCGACTGCAAGGAGCATGGCCACGAGGTTGGCCTCCATCGCTGAAAGAAATGTTTGCTTGACTGGGAACTTCCAGATGACTATCTTTGGCCGCAGCGGAAAGCAAAGAAAATCTATCAGGACCCTCCCGGGACTACTATTTTGCCACTTGGATGGCCGTGCTATTTGAGGCTCAGGATTTGAAAGTGTATCCATGGAATGAGCGTACAGCGGACTTCTGCTATCCTTAACACGTGCGGCTGTGGCAGATTTGAGACCATAAACTTCCGTCTTAGACTTAGAGGACATATCACGATGGTTGCAAGTGCCACGGCGACCGCATCATCGTCCGCAAAATGATGTAAACCTTACCATAAATGGAGCGAGCCAATGATGTAGTTGGCAATGCCACGGTTGCTGTCCCTGTTTCCCCCTTCCGCATCACGGAAAAAGCCTTACCCCGCACAAAAGAAAGCCCCGCTTCCAGTGAAGTGCGGTTCCAAAGGAGCAACAAGATACCCTGCTGATGGAGGCCGGACACGCGACTCCTCCGCAACAGTTGGAGTACCCTACGCAAGGCTCCGTCAAGACTTGACCCCTCATCCTCAAAACCAGGTCCAGTGGCGGCTGCGTTTGTCCAGCCGAAAACCAGGGCAGCATAGGAAACGGCCCGCCGGCAGGGCTCAGAGGAGGGATCCACCTCACACTTTGTTCTGTGCATAGAACAAAGTTCAAGGATGTTCAAAGCTGGTCGAAAAGCCAGAAAACCTTTGGCAACGCAAGCCGTTTTTTCATGATGTGACATATCTCCGCAGCTGGGGATTCCATCACAAGAAGTCGGAATAACGGCCATGGCTCGTGGCCGTACAGTTAGGGCGATTCCTCACCGAAATCAACCCACCCCCCCTGACATCACAGCTTCCGACTGTTCTATCTTGGCACAGTGCGTTGAATTTCTCATTTCAGGGAAAAGTAGACTCAAGGACCAGGACAGCCCAGCACTAACTGGAACTGCCAGTGTTTGGGTGTGACTACAGTCCCCCTTAAGTAGATAGAATATGGGGTATATGGGGATCTTATTTAACATGCCCAAAGCCATATTCTATCTACTTAGGGGGCTTATATGGCTTGAAGTGAGGTCTGATTGGCTATCAAATCCAAGCTGTCACTGCCTGAAACGCATCAGCCCCACGATGCCAAGCTTCCATTTCACTTTTCCAAATTCTTTCCATTTGGTTCTCGATTGCTGGGATAATATCCCTGAAGCCAGAAAACTAATCCCTAAACCATCCACAACCCCAAATAAACGATAATTTCCATTTCTTTTCCATCACTACTACTGTATACACTGATGAGGGTATGAGCCCTGCCTCTAAACCCTACATTATTCCAGGGCCTCGCAGTTGCCACCACCGAACTGTTGGGCGAAGAATCTCAGCTGACGCGTGATGCGCAGCTCACACGTGCCACCGGCATAAACATGCAGAGACAAAATCGATCGCATACATGAGAAAGGCCGCTGGGGTGCCAGTCTGCTTGCTTGTTACTCATGTGTATGCTTTGCCGGTCTGCGGCATCACGTGGTGGCCACCGTCTCCAAATTTCGACAAGCAGCGTTCCAACAACATACGGCACGGACGGGGCAATCCTGGAGACAATTGCCAGAAGAGATATGACGCTGTGTCTGCCATCTCGTCACAAGACATCATGCTACAAGCTAGCGTCATCTGTTGGAAAATGCCCAGCGCGAACAGCACGAAGAGATGCCGAAAGCAATACCTGACAGGAGCAGGTGCAATGGGCGGGGCCCACATGCCGGCAGGCCACAAGACAAGCCCCGGGGCCATAACGAATAGCCAGTGAGCATGCAAAGTGCGTGCACAAAACAGCTGCTTCACGCTCACAGCGCAGCCGAGCTGCAAGTGATGACATGCCTTGCTGAAGTCCACGCCCGCTTTCCGGATTTCATCTGAGTCATTACTGGCCTCAGAAATGCGTCATGTAGACAGCTCCAAAGGCCAGGCCATGGCCAAGTGTCTCACATGCTTTTATCCTCCGTTACCATTATTATAGTTTCCATTTTCTTTGCCGATATCCTCACACCCCCAATGCACTACGCGTAGTAGTTTCCATTTTCTTTTCCATTATCGCTAATAGTAGTGGAATTTTCGACTGCTGTCTGCCCAGGTGCCGGCTCCAAGTCTGTCGAATTTTCGATAGACTCGCTCTCTGACATGGCGTTGGCCAGTCGGGCTTTGGAGTCAAACAGCTTAGTCATCCTTCAGCTTGCCAACTGATGCATGCATACTGTTATGCGGGGTCATGCAGGGTGGCTTCAATATCTGGGGCACGCTGATGCACTTCTGATACAAACAGCCAATCTTTGCTGAGCAAAATTGGGCCAAGCCGGCGAGAGACAGAGTTGTCTCCCCTTGCGAAGTGCTGCTTTCGTCTCTTGGACTCGAAGTTGTGAAGGGTACTAGATACTGCTGCTTCTGCAAATCCTGCATAGCCTTAGCGTACTATGACGCCATAGATTTCAAGGTATAAGGTACTTTGGGTCATGCAGGATTTTCCTTATCAAACGTGGTAGCTGCTTAGGTCCATGTTGATACATGCCTCGCCTTGGAACTTGCTCACGACTCCAATTGGTGCAACCTCTCGGAAACTTGAAAGCGCTCCCGATGATTGCAGGCACCTCTAAGGTAAGCGGGAAGTCAAATTAAATTAAGCCAGGCAGGCATCAGCTTTTCCCGGAACTGCACTGAGACAACTGGGTCAGCTCCCGAACTGCCGGACCAGATCACAAGTTCATGAGTGGATGAAGGGTGTGTGAATAGGGGAACCATATGTGATCCATCTGCATGCGTCGCCCGCTATGCGGGTGACCGTGCCTCATCCCGAACGTGCGCGGGATGCAGCACGAAGTGTTTCCCAACAGCTCAGGCCCCGAGACTCTAGAAGGCATATATAGTGATATATATGCCCCCAGAGCTGGTATGCTTACCAAATGCTCAGCGGGCAAACTAATCGTGGGAGCCTCGTCCATGTCACATTCAAACTCATCCTTACTGTAATGTAGCAAGTCACAAAATAGCACAACAGGGATGGACTAGAGAGACCCAAAACCAGCGTGGCCGCAATGCATCTATCTGCATGCAGGCCAGCAATGGGGCGTTAAGCGGAATGTTTCTCCGGCTGGACCCCGAAATCAGTCCAAAGCAGCCTCAACTGCCCTGCTGGACCTACAGGCTTGAAGCCCATCTATGGCTGCTAGCTCTGCACATAGCAACAAATCCAAAAATTAAATAGCAGCCCACTGTGCCCACTTCGGGACAGCGTTGCGACAGCAGGATGTGTGAAACTTGTGCATTCTCGGCAAACTCCCTGAAACCGCGAGGACACCCACTTTGCCAAATCCAAGCACTTTGCGCTGAGAATGCATTCCGAACTGGCCGGTCGCCTCTTGTCCTACAAAAGAAGAGGGACTGGCACTCGGTTTGCGAGCCTCGGTGCGTCAGATGAAGCCGAGGCAATGGAGCCCTCTCAAAGGTTCCATACACGGGCGGGTAATGGGCTTGAAAGTTTGTGCTCTTGGCTGTTGCTGTTGCTGTTCTAGCATTGACCTCAGATATCAAATTGCAATCCACAAATCACAAATGCTCATCCTCAATGCAGCTGCGGTGCATCAAGCGACCTGATACGACTCACACCGGTACTGCTTTCTTTGGCAGCAGGCCGGCTTTGCCTTGAATCCGTCTTGTTTGAAAAAGAAAAATTATCGAAATTGTCACTGGCAAAGTTCGCACTGAAAACTAGAAAATAGAAAATGTTCCTTTTTCTTGTCGATTACCCCCACATCCCGCATGTAATCCCTAAATATAGCGCCTGCATAACTCCTATACCCTAAACCCTGTGCCCGGATCCAGGTTGCTGCCAGAGACTGCCCAGACCCAGTCCTTCGTGCCCGGGAGCTCGTGAACAGTGACCTGTGGCTGGACATCTAGCGATATGGGGTTTAGGGTTTAGAGGCTGGATATAGGGGCTATATAAGGGTTATATAGGTAATGCAAAACAAGCCGAAACTACTGTTGGGGTTTAGGGTTCATGGTTATAAGGGCTTATATGTTGGCTCAAAAGAGGGTTCGCTAAAGACTCTGCAAGCTAACTTCTGGTCAGCATACAAGGATAGGAAGGATTGGACAGTCTTTCCCATTCGGAGTCCAGAAATAGCGGTGAGCATGGCATGCGACTATGGGAGGTCTCACGAATCTGGATGCTTTTTGTGCGGTGCGGTCCTCTAGAACGAATCCTATGATGGCAGGAGCAGAACGTGGTCCTGGAACATATTATTTTTGGGATTTTGGGAAGCCCGATTCATGTAGATTATGATTCTATGTTGGGGTCTGTATTCGGGGCCAGAAAATCCAGGAGTACCAACCTAGAAGCAAGCCAACTAGACCGCCCCACAACGAGACCCCAGCAACTCTAAATCCCAATTCTGGTCCTTCGAATTCCCTTACTGTGAGGCTCCTTCCGGTACCAAGTTTAGGCTCATGCCTGTACCTGCCATTTTGGGTTACATTGACTTAAATCTTAAATTTTAGATTTTTAGGTTTAGGATGCCAGCCAGGGAACTTTGTCACCCTTGGACGCGGACATGTACTGGTTTGCCCCACCTGGTCCGTCACCGGAACCGTACTTCAAATTACTGTATGACTTGGGTATTCTGGTATATTATAGTTATTATGGGGCCTTATAGTAGATTAAAATATATTACGGGGTTCAAAGTACTGTATGGGTTTTTCATGTGCTTTCCCTCTTTCGGACCACCAAGGTCACCTGCAACAAGCACAAATGACGTTCAAATATGAAGTCCTACAAGCTTTGACTAACTCAGTGTATGCTTCGGGTGGGTGTAACATCCTCGAGAACTCAACAACTAAGAACGCACCAGGTTATTCAAAACATGTGTTGGTCGAAAATCATCGGCGTCAAGCCCGCGGAAAACAAAGTGCAGGAGAGCATTTAAGAATCTGACTCTTAGTCGGCTAGACCAGTTCTTCTTCCCATCCCACCGGCACGTCCAATCACATCTGTTCCTGCAACCGCTCCCTTGTTCTTGCCTACCCGGCGCAAAAAGGTACAAGCTAGAAATTCAGATTGTCATTGGTCTCAGCTCAGGGCTGAACTTTCGGTGACCGGGCTGCCCATGCCCGAAACAACACATCGTCCATCCATGAGAGCAAGTCGTGACCAAAGCACAAACCGCATGCGAAATCGACAGCAACGTCACAGCTTACAAGGTCGGGCTTCTGAAGCATTCGGAACACAGTTCCTGCAAAAACAGTCTTCTCAGTCACACCCATGAAAACATAGTGACCAACCCGTCACGGCCCCATTCGCACCACTTGCCTCGTTTGAAGAACCGTCCTACCCTGAACTCAACACTTACCTGCTTATTGGGACTTATGGGGTCTCGTTCTTTTCCATTCCTTCATTTCTTTCTAACCAGAGGTAAGCAAAACCTGGGAGCATTCCGGTTCTGCTTGTGTCCAGCCACCTGTCGGCGCTTCCACGTTCTCGAGCAACGATAGCTCGCGTGGGGATGGCAATGCCTGGTCAAAATCTTCCGTACTTCTTTACATGTAGAAAGCGTCTTTAGACATGCGGAAAATATCACAATGTATGCATAACGTTGAAAAGTTATGTACTAGTTTTGATTACTATGGCACTGGTACTGAGAAGAAAGATGCTGGCAGCAACAGTAAGAAAGCCAACAAAAAAGAAAAGAGAAACAATTGGGGCAGCTTCTCGGACCATCCAGAGATCAAAAACGAGGTTGGCAGCAAAACCGCAAAACTGTGTCGTGCACCACTGCTTCTCCATAAATTGGGGTCGAGGACGACTTCTCCAACATAAAATGACCCGCTACTAGATCACCAAAAATTTGGGTAGAGGGGCTGCCCGTGTTGTGAAACATTGCTTGCGGGGATCATACAGGTATGGTCCGGTATGGTGGGACAGCTTTACAAAGCCCATCGACACGTTGGGTTCGCATTGATGGTGGGTGTGAGAGTGGCGGGGTGTTCACTGGGCAAGCCTTTCCTTAGCTGAGCAGATCGATGTTCCCCCGAAACGTTCGCCAAACTTTCTCTTGGGGGTATGCCCCGGAAGCCCCCGCCAGGACTCCTGGACACCGCTAGGGTTCTAATGGACTGCACCAGAGGGAAAACCCCTAGATCCCCTGGGACAAAAAGGCAATTCAGTTTACGCATTGTTTCGCACGCTTTCAGTTTACCTTGTGTCTCGGCATTGAGCTGGAAGCTCCTAAACGGTCCTACATCACGCCCAAATGCGCCCTATGTAACACGCGGCTTCGAAATTGCAAATGGTCTTGCGCTTCCTCCAAAGATGATGACACACACCTTTTTTTTTCTTTTCGGATCATTGTTGAAGTTTTCCGGGAGCAGCTTTGGACCGCCTTTGTACCAACTGGGCCACGTGTGAGCCCAAGTTCGGTATCAACGACAACTCGCAGGGCGATTGAAGGTTCACACGCATACCGAACTCCAATGATGCCGACAGTCCCTGTCACCGGCACAGGTGTGGCACCAAGTTTCAGAAGGGCCTGGGTCTAAAATGCTCACATTGCCACGTTCCCACAAGTGCAGGTAATCCCGTCCTCCGCGAGAGCACGGTAGTCCTTTCCCAGGCGTGCCCTTGGCAGCGGCACAGCAATATGGCCACGAGTACAAAATCAGGGCCTGTCCGTGTTGGGGGTTGTCTGAAGAGAGGGACCCTCCGCTTTGTTTGATGGTTAGATCCATCACAGTAGCAGCACATGATCCAACTAGTGATTTCTGTTTCCATGCGAGATGAGAACCAGACTGCTGTCATGTCCAACTAGGGACTATCCAACCCACACCCTTGAAGGACCCCTGTAAAGTGCAATCTCTTTGCACTTTTTTTGGATGTTTTTGAGCCTCAACTGTAAACCCGCTGGGGTTCCACTAGTCCCTGAGATGGAAAACGCCTGCTAAAGCCTGACCCAGATTCGATGCACGGAGCTTTTTCTTGCTCACATGTGCCCTTTGCTTCTTCATCTCCTCATAGGCCATAACCTTTGTCAGAATGTGCCTGCCAAAGTGCTTCACAGGGAATGACGGAACGGATTGTAAGGACTTAGGACAGCAAGGAACAGCCATGATCCCCTCTCTTCCTGCTAGAGACATCACAAAGCACCCAGCTTTGCCACTTGCATTGCATGGCTATGCAGCAGCACAAGGTCTCGATCTGGCAGATCACCCCACTGCTGACTGTAAGAGATGAAAGGGGATAGACTCTTCCAAGCACGCGGTTTAGGGTTTAGAGACCAATTAGTTGGGAGTGCAACCTAGGTAGTATGGCTCTTGACCGGGATTCTGTCAGATGAACTGGCGTCAATAGTACTTGTCTGGGGTAAGGGTGAATTCATGGAGAGTGCCGCGCATCCTTTTGCGGGTTTGGGGGGAATAGTTCTGAGGTATCGTTTTTTGGGATGCCCCGTATCGTTTTGCAGTGAATCCAAAACCTTTCCCTCATTGCACAGCCACCCTTACTTGGTAATTTGACTCCGGCTCACATGGCATCCAACCTTGACAGCAAATAGTCCAAACGAGCAGCCATGCAGAGCGCAATGTAATGTAATGCAGCTGTTTATTCAAGAGACTCCCAATACGTTGGAAATGTCTATGAAGCGAGGATCCACCACATGTTCTGACGGCCACACAGCCTTCGCCAGGCGGGGACCAAGAAGAAGAAAACAACAAGGCCTAGGACCACGGAGCACTTGGGGGTTCAAATCTCGAGTTCTTTAACTGTTGAGGGTCTAGCGGCTGAGGGCCTTTATAGGATTTAGAGTTGAGGGTTCGCGGGCCCCTTTCTGTTTCCATCTCGTGCTTGACTGCTCTTAGCCCTTGTTCCCCCCCAATTCTATATCCCCCTAACAATAAACATTCACCCAGCCTGTCATGGCAATGCATCGGGAATAACAACTGGTTGTGGTCGGCGAGTGTTTGTCACCCGGGCTGATTTATAGTCCCCTTGAAGTAGATAGAATATGTGGTGTATGGGGAGCTTATTAAAATATAACCAAAGCCATATTTTATCTGCTTAAGGGGGGACTATACAATGCCGTAGACAGCCAGCTGAGCCGAGGCGCCCATGATGAACTTGGCCAGCCTCCGGAGGGCGTAAGGGGATGTAGGGGTTCAGGGTTTGGAGCAAGAATGGAGATTCAAATGGAAAACAAATGAAACTGAAATACAAATGAAGTGGAAACTGGCATGGAAAGTGCAATGGAGAATGAAATGGAAAATGGAAATTAAAATGGAAAATGAAAGAGAAACTACTACACCATCAGCCGTAACAGCTACTAGCCAACAAAAGTCGGGCGTGGTAGGACCCCGAAGCCCTTCATGAGGCTTTTGTGCCACTGCTGATACCGAACTGACCCATCTCAGAACTCATTCTTATTCTGGACATCTTGCTTTCCAATTTTCTAAACTCAAATCATGCCTCTCATGCCGGAAGAAATTGCAACCAACCTCTGTTCCAATACTGCGTCTGCAACACGCCTCACGGCCACCTCCCAACGCTAAACCTTGACCCCTCGGTCCTACACGCGGGGTCAAGAGGATGTAGTAAGCGTACTCATGAACTCCAAACCCTTATGAACCCTAAACCTCTTCTCGGCCTCTTGTGATCCGCCTGAGAAGTGGCTGCAAGCACACCCTCATCGAAGCAGTGCTCCCAGGAGAAACCGATCAGGATGGCAATCGCCTGTACCAAAGTTCCCTTCGAATTTGCAACTTACTTGTGGTTAGCAGGGAATATACTATATGGGGAATTTCTTCCCCTATTCCTCACCAACAACCAGTAAATTCAAGGTTCTGTACGGTTTTTTAGGTCCTGAGGCAAGAGAATTCTTTTGCTACTGCTCTAGGCTCGACACCTGTTGGCTGCTGGGGATGTTGTGGGCGACCAGCAACGTCTAGGGCTTGCCGTTGTTGCTTGTAGATGTTTGTTTTCTGGTATCGCATCTGTTGAGCAAACTCTCGCTGATGTTGTGATTTCTGACACAGCCAACAGCACTACAAGGAACGGGCGTTTTAACGGCCTCTAGTGGTACCATCCAAACATGGGGCTTACCTCACATCCTCGCGTGCTGCTTACGCTACATGTGGATCCTGTTCGGGAAGGCGTGAGAGGGCCATCGCGGCGTCAGAAGTGGCCATGGGCCTCTGCGAACTGCTGGGGGCCACGCCGAAACGCACATAGTGCTGATGCCCAGTGTCAGGCATCACCGAAAAAGCAATCAACAGACCGCGCTGCATGAAAGACAACCTCATCCACTCCTCCAAGGAACTCTTTGACTGAACTTCATGAGGTCAGCTGTGGTCGAGAGCCCCATCCCCTCTCTTTGATTTGTTTTGGTGCTCTGACACAGCACGAAACCATGCATTGCCTGGATGATCACACGAATTGCCTTGGCCCCGTCCTGCAGAGATGCGACATACCCAAAACTATTTCTGGACATTTTCTGGACGATATCACCGGTGCATATTTGATGTCTTATGGCGATGTAACATTTTTTTTTGCCAAATGCTTTGGAACCACAACCCACATGAATTAGTCGTGGATCATGCGTGTGCTCATGCCTGATCATGCAGCCAGGTAGTGCCAGCAGGCATCTCAGCCAAAGTGTTACCGTACTCGCTTCTCTGATACTATCGGGTCCTCGCCATTGCCCGAACCCCTTGTCATATCGTCGATGAAGTCAAGCCTGGAAACTTCTTTCACTCAGCGCAGAGTCACCGTGAGTCTCAAAGCGAAGCACTTCAATCTCAAAGGTGGGCTTGTCTTGTGTGTGTGTGTGCTCTTTCCTTTTTTGGAACGAAGTAAAGGTACAGTGAGGTTAGTAGAATCCCTCCGCCGAGGCAGAATGGAACAGTGGGGTCGGTGTTTCTGTTGCTGTAAAACAGCGCATATTGTGTTGATTTCCTTGAAAACGAATCCACCACAGCTATCTAAACTGTTGACATGTTGTTCAAAGCAAATGGTTCGATGAGGCCGGATCTAGGCTTCAAGCAGATTGATCAACCACACGAACCCCTCCGCACTACCAAGGAAGAGCCACTATGCCCATGTGAACGCACTGCACTGATTCTGCTCCCTACGAATGTCCAGATCTAGGACCCCTAACACAACCCAACTTGTAGCCTTTCATCTCCTACAATTTTCCAAGGAACAGGAAAACGGCGCATCCGCACACGATGGAGAGCAACAATGCCTGAGAGAGCTTGCAGGTTTTATCGGCCTACGCCATGGCGGCCCACTCCAGACGCCACTTGGCAGATTGAGCTGGACTGTCTCTGGCAGTGATTAACATTGGAAACCCATCCACCTTAAGCTTCAACTGATTGCACTGATAAGAAACTTGAAAATGTAAGGATTGGGCATATTCAACATCACACCCACGCAATGCTGAGCACAGTGCGCCGACAACCTGTCCAATCATGCTCTCATAGTTGAAGGCGCCCTGGATGGCGGGAGGTGGTGGGCCAATGCTTCAAGCAAACCAACACTCAGAAGGCTCACAATCACGGCTTCTGGACTTCAATAGCGCAAAGTGCTTCCCGACACACAGACAGAAAATGCTTAAGTCCTGGAGTCCTGGAGTTGAAGCTACAAGTGGGAAGCCTGATTGTCTGGCACGCTCATCTGTGATCCATGCTAAGGACTTTAGCGCGTACGACGAATCACTCATTACTAGCAATCCGGTTTTCCCTGTTATGCAACTGCGTAAATGCTGGCATCATTGGGACTGCTGCTGCTCAAAACCTCAATCCTTGTGCTTGGCGCATAGGATTCTGTGCGGGCCGAGGGCGGCACGGTTCTGAGGACCAACCACCTCAGTTACCGGCTTGCTGCTCAGGAATTGAAAAGAAGTTACTATAATAAGGAAACCTTCTCATTCAATATAGCATGGTAAGCTAGCCCTTAAGTTATTTAACAGCGACCCAAGTCACTGAGGCTCAGTACAATGAGGCTGAATCTGCAAAAACGCCCCTTTCATCGAGTTATGGGAAGAGAGGACCCTCGAAGACACTACAAGTCCAAAAGCTTCAACCCGTTTCGGATGACCTGGGGTTGCAAATTGAGGACTTCAAGCCTGACAGTACATGCTCTACTGGCGTCGAACGGATTCCGGATCCAAACCTGGGGTCCGAACTACTTCCTACGAAATCCTATGGTTCTACTTCGACGGTCTAAAACCTTCTTCAAGGATCACCCGCCCCGGCTTCTTCAAGCTCCGGCATGGGCAAAGGAGCCTAATCAAAATTCTAGGAGACCTTTTTCCAAAGACAACTGAAAGATAATGCAAAAGAGAATGCAAAAATCAGACCTCATCCCTCCCTGTCACCGGCCCACAACCCTGTAGCCAGCTACCAGCACAGCAAAGTTCAGAAGAGGAAAGGTGTTCAGGTCACGTTGCCGTCCCAGCTTGCCTGGATGTGCTGAGCCGCCCACTTGGAGCCAAAGAGCACCAGCCACGCGAAGGACATGGCAAGAAAGTTGCACAAGCATTGACCCAGACGAACACCTGAGCAGTGTCCATGCACTTGCTGTCGGAGGCTTCGTCATCTGCGATGACTAATAAATTTAGTTGCTATCTAGAGCAGTAGCCTCTCAAATAGGGTAGTTTGCTACATATCACATACCTTCTTCTAAGTACGGCGGCCGTGCATCAGCCTAAGGCCCAAACTAAGAGGCTCCTCGTGCTCCTCGTGCTCGCCCTCAACAGATTGCAAGCCAGACTTGGAGCATCTGCCATCCAGACATCCGTACATAAGAGAAGGTCGCCCCATGGCGAAATGCTTGGGAGTCTGTTAAAAGCTTGTCACAAGGACACCGGGATGAAAAAGGGTCGGTATCTTTAGCAACTTAAGCATGGCTGATATCACAGCATAAAAGCACGTCCAAAACCGTGGGCCTAAACACGTGGGCTTGTACCAAGCGGCTACAATCGACTACACGCTCTGCGCCCGGACTCAGCCCTGCAACTTGCTTTACCGTGCAGTGCAGGGGGGACACTAAGTCGGAGCCCTAAACCCTTAGCCCTAAATCCTTAAACCCCGAACCCTAATAGTAGTTTCCCAAAATAGGGGACCCCAATATAGACCCCAAAATACTATAGTCTTTATTATGGGGACCCCCAAAATGGTACCCCTAATTTTGGGAAATCCCTAATCCCTAAACCCTAAGCCCCTAAATGGGGCACCTCTGCTTCCTCCTTGGCTTTGAAGAGCTTCAGCGAGAGCGCCTCAGTGTTCAGTGGCTTCGCTCAGCATTAGAATCAGCCCAGGCTTGTTAGTAGGGCTCGGGAATTTGGGTTTGGGTGTAGGGTGTGGACTTATCTACGATACCCCAAGTATAAGTCGGGTTAGAAGCCCGGTTATAAGACTAAATCCCGTAAATCTTCAGGTAGTTCTCTTCCTGGTTTTGGGCTTCATCCATTCGAGGATTTCCTCCTGGCAGAAAATACTGGCAGGCGCTTTCAAGGAAAGATGAGGCAAGAACGATGGCAGCGAAACACAACGCACCGGCCAGCGCCTGAGCCCCGCGGTACATGGGTGAGATTCAACTTGAAGTAGACGATGCTCTGAGACAGCAACAAATAGGATTCCGATCTCGTGCCAGCTGTGAATCTTTTCCGGCACCTTCAGGATGCCACAACACACAGAGGGGGAAGAGTCTGCGTAGTTCGTCAGTGGCGCCACCCAAGTGCTTGGGGTGAAACCTGCAGTCCTACGCAACAGGCAAGCCTTGGATAGAAGATCATAAAAGAACCGAGTATCCAAGCGATTGGGGTGCAGGTCATTCCAGCCACAACATCAAGCAGAAAGCCAAGCAGCACAAGCCCCGCAAGACTCTTATATAGGGATCCTAGGGGCTATATACGGATTATGATTATGCTGAGAGTTGTTACGCTTTTTGACTTGAAAGCCCTTCTCCCAAGAAATTGCCCAGACCGGCACCTCCTGGCCCTCTGCGTTCGGCATGATGCCTCCGACCGCAAACCGCAAGGCCTGGGATATCTGAAAGTGGAATAAGGGGACATATTCTATTGGGAATTATTTATGTATATTCATATATAGGGATTATATTCTCTTATTTCCTGCTAAGCAGCAGTAAGTAAAGTCAAGCTTCAAAGTCTGAGCTCCACACCTGCACTGTCAAGAATGACAGTGAAATTGCGGACCTTACTCGCAGCTTTTCAGCAGCAGGGAATATGGGGGTTTCCGGAAATTAGGGGTACCTTTCTGGGGGTCCCTATAATAAGGATTATAATATATTGGGGTCTATATTGGGGTCCCCCTGTCAGGGGGGAACTACCTGTCTCATTCAAAGCAGCATGAACCTGTCCAGGTTGGATTCGGTAATCAGGCAGATGCCATGCCACCAACTAGATGATCCAAGCACTTTGGATGGAATCATCCACCGCAGAAGGCACTTGGATGCTGTGTGCATTGGGTGATATGCTGGGCTTGGGACACGTCATTTTCTGCTTCCACCACCTGAGTGAGAGGTGGTTCGGACGAAGAACAAGTAACCAGAAGCTCGACAAGCAGCATACGCGCTGGCCATGCCAGCAGCAGCAGCAGTTTAAAGGATGCTGGCAGGTTTGTCAGCAGCATTTACTCTTATGCTCAGTCTTCCTTCTTGCTCTGGTGTTTCTTTTGGTAGAAATAAGGATAGCAATTCTAAGTCATCATACCAACAGCAACTGCAACAGAAGTGTTGATAACAGTGTCAATAATAGTACTGGCCACTGCAACGGCAGTAAAAATTAGACTTGGTCAATTCAGATGCAGCACTGCAAATGACGCATCAGCAGTAGCAATGAATCTATCTTCAGGTGATTCTAGGGCAGGCTTACGAAGGAAGACATTAGCTTTTTTGTGGTTTGCGGTGCAGACCAACTTGCATCTGACGCAAAGTGCAGTTTGGGCTGATTTCGGACAAGATGCAGACTCGTAGCAGAGAGCCACCTTTTGTGAGTCACCTTGGGAGCGAGTTCAGGGTTCAGGGTTGGGGAACACGTCACGGTGCACGTCTGCGTCCTCGAACATGCGAGATTATACAGGCCTGCGAAAAACTGAGCATGGCCGGGCATCCTATCATACCCAATTATGCAAATCTACTGTTTTGCATTGTTTTTCCTATGTTCCCCTTGCTTGATCTTGTGCACCAAACCCAACATATATATATATGTAGGGATAATGATAGCTACTATAGTGTATTGGGGTTACACATAGGGATAATGGAAAAGAAAATGGAAACCAGCCAACTCCCTTTGGTCAATTCATCTTGACGGAGTGCTCTTATCCATGGCGTTGGCGCGGAACATGCGGGCAACCTGGAAGACTGCCTGCATGGCCACCGGCCACTGAAGCATCCGACAACTACAAAGGGAGGCAAGGCGTGCGCAGAAAAGCTACTACTACTGCTGCTACTACTACTACTACTTCTTCTTCTATTGTCATTGCTATCATCATTCTTACTAGTACTTTGGTATTTTCATTGTTGGGCAGGTGCTTGGAGCAGGCTGACAGCAAACGAAGATCTCCAAGCCTGGAGGATGAGGAACACAATCACACCCTGGGCTCGCCAGCTCTTCCAAAGCTCTTCAAATTCCGGGTTACATGCACAATGCTCTCCTTAAGATGTTCTTTGTTGGGCCCTGGCTGGTAGCATGGCCATTCCTGGAGATGTGCGGAACACCTGCCAGGGCTGGAGCCCATGAAATGAAATTGGTAGTTTCCCAAAATAGGGGGACCCCAATGAAGACCCCAAAAATCCTATAATCCTTATTATGGGAACCCTTAAAAAGGGTACCCAAATTTTTAGGAAACCCCTAGTCATAAGGCATAATTCCAGCTGTTGCTCACAGCTGGCTCAGCAGCGGTGGAATGCAGAAAATGGCAGTTTGGAGCAAATTATTATTATTACTATTATAACTATTACTACTATTATTATTATTACTACTATTATTATTATTACTAGTATTATTATTACTAGTATTATTATTACTAGTATTATTACTATTATTACACTATTATTATTAATACCATTATTTGGTCCCATGCTTCTTAGATGATCTTCACGTCTTGGCCGTGTCAGCTGATATGTCTGCGAAAGGGTGCAGGGCAAGCTCGGAAAAGGAGAACCCAGGGCTAAGAAAAGAATGCAAGCCCCACAAGCCCCTCATACACTCCGTTAAAGCGGGAAGCAGGAACAGCAGTCGCCTGCCCCTTCCCTGTCTCTGACTCACCCGGCAAAGGTTCGCAACGAAGGGCTGCCTCAACCTCTTGCAGCTGCGCTCCAGAGTTGATAGCCGCAAAGCCAGACCTTAGCATCAGTTGGACCCAATGTCCGCCACAAGTGGAATACTTAGCAAATGATTAAATACAATTTAGACTACATACAAAAATGCAAGTTCGGCCCAGGAACATGTGCGCAAGAAGCATGGCCCAGCACCTGCGCCGCATAATCTGCACCATGTCTGACTACAATATTCTTGCTACTGCTACTGCTACTGCTATGACAACTATGACGCGTACTCCAAGAAGAGAGAGGAGGAGGCTGATAGGAGTATAGTGCAGGATACTAACGCTTAACTGCACTCACAAATGTTAAATGTGTCGCTGAAGCTGTCGCCGCCCACCAAGACCAGAGATTTTCGTCACCGCTCGATGTTTACGTTTGTCGCTACCAAGATTTCTGCTGGTAGGAGTGCAAGTTCGGGAGACTAGGAGTTCTCGTGTACAAAATCCAGAAGACAGTGCAGACTTTGAGTTGGGGAACGGGGCTGTTGTTGTTTGAGACGACCTGTTATGTGACGAAGCAAGCCAGATTATGGAGAACAAAAACACAGCTTGCATCTTGTTCTCACGTAGGCTGGGGAATGCAAGCCTCATTCGCCGCTTGGCCATGTCCAGCTTGTGCTGTTGATAAACCACCTGACCAGGGGAACAACGAAAGTGCATGCAAGTGCTGGGAGCCTCAAATAAAACCAGCGAACAGCGCTTAGGTTCGCATGAGTCCAGAAGTCCATGACAAGTATGCCAAGCCACGGGAGTCTCCACGCCATACTCATCAATCCAAACCTGATGGCTCTTCCCAGACACACAACACCAAGCGAATCTGTCAAGCCAGCACCATCAATGACGCTGAGCTGCGCTTTTGGTCGCCCTTTTGTTTCGAACGTACTCTGCCTCGTGCAAGACACAGGACCCAAACCATCAGGTTCAAGGAAGAAAGTCATGATTGGAGAAGCTGTCCATGAGGTCTTTCAAAGTACTGCCTACTTGCTGGTTGTTACACTGTCTCGTGCGCTCTTTATTCTCCTGAGCAACACAGCTTCGCACCACAGGGATTAAACCTTGCCACCCCCCACCCACATCCTGGCACACTAGCACTCCAGCACGAAGGCAGGCTGAACCAGTGATGAGACAAAGCCCGTTCAGGCTTTACAGCACTGAAGGCCGTAGTTGCCAATGCTTGTTGTTGGTCGTGGTGGGCAGTGCATTTTCGCGGGCATGATGTATTCAGCCACGTGTTTGCCATCACTGGTTGCTAGTGTTGAGAGTGGTGTTTGCGCTGCTGTAGGTTACGTTGCTTTCACTTGTGCTGTGCGGCTGGAGGTGCAGCGAGTTTTAGTTTCGGTGTTGGTTTTGTTGATGGTTGGGCTATTTTGTTGGTGTTGGTGTTGGCGTGGACGTCCGCTTGATTGTAGGCGACTGCTGAAAGTCGGGTGATCGCTGATGGTTGTTGGGAGGTTGGTGCATTTGCTTGTGTTGGCGCTTCTGGCTGGTTGGAGGTGTACGTTGTGTGGGTGGCAGGTGGTGTTGGTGTTGATGACGCTGCTGGGGGGGGGGTGTTCGGCTTGCCACGATTATTGGTGTCGCGGTTTGTGTTTTCGTTGCGGTTGCTGCAGTTGCTGCAGTTGCTGCGGTTGCTGCTGTTGCTGCTGTTGCTGCTGTTGCTGTGTCTGTTGCTGCTGTTGTCGTTGTGGTTGTTGCGGTATTGTTCTTCTGCCGCCACGGCTCTCCTGCTTGCTCGCGTCTTCTTTGGTTCTTCTGGATAATTGCCAAAGTACCCTTAGCATTCGAGGCGGTCACGCAGCAACAGCAGCCATGAACAGTGGCGGCAAGAGTCACCGACGGCAGGAATTATGAACCGACAACCACCAGAGCACCAACAACATCAGCATCACCAGCATCAACATCCCTAGCAGAGGCAGCGCCACCACGATAACTACCGCCAAACCTTCTGCCCGCCATCAGCCACTGCAAGGGCTGGCCAACAGCTGAGGCAGCAACAACAGCAACGAAAGCAGCAAAGGGAGAAGAAGCAGGGAGAGAGGAAGAGGAAGAAATACAAGAACAGGAACAGGAAGAGCCAACGTTCACCACGAACGCCTGCCAGCGGTGCCAATGCCGTGATCACTGTCCCAAGCACCAACCAAAACCCCTTCATTACATTGGAAGGAATCACCGCAGCCCCAGACAAACAAAATGCAACTTGCTCACCTTCTCTACTCGAGGAGCAACGAAAACAACAACAAAACACATCACTATGTTTACGGATCCTTTGCAAAAAAACTGTCCATCCTTCATATGTTTTCCGCCTTTTCCCGTAAACCCCACACATGGCAATCCAGCATCGTTCGCATCATTGCTGCCACTACTTGCTGGCCTCCTTGTCGCTCAAGACCGCAGAGTAGTCAGACCTGTCTAGCATTCTGGGGATGCACAATAAGGACGACTCTGGTGATTCTCGAAGGATTCTTCACTGCTGCCATGAGCGGGAGCAGCCGTTGCAACTGTTCTAGCATGTAGAATTGCACATGCAGCGCTGACTTCCTGCATGCTATCATAAACCACGTTCGTGCATAACCTGCTCATCAAGTGCTAGTACATGCACATTCATGTGCCACCTTGCTTACCACGATCAAGGCTGACGACTTGCAACACCATCGCTACTGTACACTCACTGATACAAATATCATCAGACATTACTCCTCCGAAACTGCCTCAAGCCATCCGCAATTGTCCACTTCTTCTCTCTGAAGTCTCCGGAATCTTTACCACCGCACAACCTCGGCTTGATGGTGGGCCGGGTGAGCAAGGGTGCTGGCATCATGTGATGCCACGAGGATCGTTTCATTATTTGGTTCTCTGGGCTGCTACAGCCCTAAACCCTAAACCCAGCTCTCAGAAATGCTTCCTGATGCTGGTCAGCAACCTTACCGCTGCATCCAGGCGTTTTTTTTTGGAGGGTGGGGCCTTTTCTCCAAGGCTCGTGTCCTTAGAGATATTGATTCAGCACGTTCCAGGCCCCACCCTCAAAGTCACACCGACATCCAACAAATCAGAAGCCCAAGCACCTTCCATGTGCATGTAGGCCATAAGTATCCCAACTCTACAGCAGCCAATGTGTCAAATTAGTCCGCTTGGACACACTAGGACGCGGTTTAGCTTTTTTGCTGCGCCCTTTTCCTCCCCGGAGACTCATTCCAGGTTTGATCTAAACGCTTCCCACCAACACCCATACCACAGTGCCTCACAGTTCTGAAGCTCTGAAATTGTCAGAGCAAGGCTCACAAAACTGATGGTTGTGGCAGTGGCGATTAGCAGTATCAGACAAGGCCAATAATCATAGCTATACTGGGACATACTCCGCAAAGCTCCGAATCCAGCTTGATCTTCTTGGAATAGAACAACTGCAACCAAACAACTGCGATGCCATGTCGCAGTTAGACGGGGTCTAAATCAGCTACCAGGACCGGTGCAACAGTGAAGGACGTCAAAGGAAGTTCTCAACACCATACCCAGTGACACGCCGGAGATAGCACCAATCACCAGCTGCATCGCCTCAGGGCAAAGCCAAATGGTCGCGTAAGGCGATCCCAGAAGCAGCAGTACAGCATACACACATCATGTGGGTCTGAAACTCGTGATTGGACGGATGCTATTTCGTCGGGTTGTTCTCGCCAGGCTTGTAAGAGCAGTAGAGGCGGCGGCAGCAGCAGCTGCAGCAGCAGCTGCTGCAACAGTACAACGAGTACTTGCAAAAGTAGTAAGGCATCTGCACAAGGAAGTGAATGGTTTAGAATGAATCAACTGCGCATGTCCCGGAAGTAATACGACAAGCCTTGCAATTCCCGACAGATCCCGTGATGCCTTTTTTCCGCGACTGAAGGCCTACTTACCACGCAAAAGTCTTGCTGTCCGAGCAACGACCACATAGATGCCGCAGTGGAGGAACTGGATAAATACCCTGCCAGCGTAGACATTCTCATATGGGGATCAAAGCTGAGGTGCTCGGCGCTCTAGGACCCTGTGTATTGACTCTACAAAGCGAACGTCCCGTGGCAAGCCACGAAACATGTAGAGACTTCGAAGTTGTTGCTTTGCTTTGCTTCATGGGGCACACGAATTAGCCAGAGCTCTACCTCTTTGAACCCATAGCAAGATCGAGAATTTGTAGTCGCGTTCTTGCCTCACATAATTCATGCAATGCAGAGCATAGGAGGCATGGATCCCTGACGATCCTTGGCCCTGGCAAAAAGGCTCCATTGAAATGGCAAAGTACTCGGTGGCAAACCCTAAATTCACTAAACCCTAAACCCTAAAAAATGAGCCATGTACTTCAGGCCTCGTGGAGTGGGCATACGAGACGGAAAAACGTCGAATCTGCTCGTTGATGCCCTGAAACATGAGCACCTGCAACTCCAGGCTTGCAAAACTGGCCTTGGGTTAGCTGGGAATGGGGTTATATAGGGGTTATATAGCGAGTACTGCATAGGGTATTAAATTCGGGTTGTATATAGGGATAATGGAAAAGAAAAAGGAAACTACTATAGGGCTTATAGCTTAGGGTTTAGGGCTTGGGAATGGAAAAGGAGATGGATAGTACTACAATGGGATATAGGATTATAGGGACTACTATAAGGGCCTATCCCTTCATTCCTAGCTAACCAAAGGTAAGAAAAGGCTCAGGGTGCATAGTGATGGGATACTGTTGGCATGTGTACAGTTGCTAGATAGGTGTTGCTAGTATGACTATATCAGGGGGTTTTGATAATAAACTGATAGAAAAACAAACTCCATGACACAACAATGCTGTTGAATGGCAGCAGCAACAACGATGGTATTCGCCGCTCAACAAAGCTCTGAGACCCTCTTGAGGCCAGAACCGCAGAGAAAATCGACATCGTCATGCCTGTGCTAGCCACTGCGAACGTTAAATTCGCCAGGATTTCTGATTACAGAAGGCCAGAACGCTGACTCGCATTGCCACTGTCTGATACCCAACTTGAAGCACCCTGCTCACCAAATCGTGCAGCACAGCTGCTGATAATGTTCATGGAATAATAGCGAATGTCATCGTCGTTCCAGTTCACCTGAACCACAGTAAGCAGTCATTCTGGACCAGACCGGGGCCATCCAAAAGCCAAGTGGCCAAGTAGAAGAGAGACACCACAAAAATCACGGCTCCCAGAAGCATGTGCGCGACCTTTCAGGCAAACAGGCAGGCAACTTCTGTCATCTTTATAGGCTTCCTTGCTTGCAGATGAATGGAAGCGGGGCCTCGATATCTGTTTCTTTAAATTCCTCCTCTTCTCCTTCCTCTTCGCCTGCTTCTCCTTCTGCCTCTCCTTCGGCTTCACCTTCTGCACTTCCTTCTCCAACTGCTTCAGCTTCAGCCTGCCAGTCACATGTTACTGCCCATCACCAGTCGCATCATAAACACGTGCAGCGCTACACATGGCTGGGACAACGCGAATATCACAGTGAGCAAATAACAACAGGAACCCGCAAAGTCGAAGAACGAACAACCTAGGAGAGTCCAGGAACCTCCCACACCCGACCGCTCTTCCGCTCCCATGCGAACCAGCGACAAAATGCTTGCGAATGCTTGCAATGGCTTGCGAACTTGCTCATGCCTTCAATGCACAGACACTCCTTTACTCTTGCAATCGCAAATGCAAAGGGTTTCCCTGCATGGAACCCCAGACCCGAAGCCCTTAAGAGAAGTACCCTTTTGATACGCATGTGGGAAAAACCCACGAGTGCTCCGATCTCCCGGCCTCTCCGGCTGCTCCGCCAAGCTCTTCCTGCTGCCAGAGTTATGAATTGCAAATGTGCTCAAGAGTCAGTCAGGAGGTCCCCAGAAGAGCTACCCTGCCCAAGATAAGAGGATTTCGGGTGAAAGACCCCATCGAAACCTGGATCTTTTGTATGTTGAAATGGGAGGCAGTTTTTTCTCTTGATGTGTTCAGCCTACTTGCCTATCCGCTGACGTCCTAGCCGTTTTCTTCTGGGGGGTCTTCGCGTGACACCTTCCTGCTAGAGGTTCTTACGATGAACAACGTGCCATGGGCTAAGGTAGGGCATCCTCGCAAGACCAAGCACATCACTCTGCCTCCTCGGCTTTCTTTGCCTCGGGTTCCTGGCAGGACTGTTGCTTGGAACCAGGGACATGCGCAAAATCGCTTTTGCGCTCCGTGGTGCGGCAATCTGAGGTTGGATGCCGGGCACATAACATGGGCAGGCATCAATGGCTCTAAACGTCGTGAGGACCCCTCATTTGCGAGCACAGGCATCTAGGCATACGAAAGAGAGTTTGACCTTGCTCCTTGCCTGCGCAGAGGGGTTAGTCTTCATGCAGTCGTTGAATGCAGTTAATGGGTTTTCAAATGGTTGGATTGAATGTCTCGGGACAAAAATGCAGATCCCAAAGCCGTCCGACAAACCCGCAGCCACAGCAGCAAAGCATACAAGATCCAGGTACTGTTACTGGTTCAGGTCCCATGCCGTTCCACTGCTCCATTTCAAATTACCACCTACCAGTAGCCCAGTCTGTCAGAATTCACGCAGCAGCTGTCAAAGGGTCAACACTGCTGCGCTCCTCTGCAACCTCGGCCGCCGCTTCCTCCTTCAGAGGGGCAGGGCGACACGCTTGTTTTCACAAATGGGGCGTTTGACAGGAAAGGCTTCCACCATCTTCCACCGGCATGCTCCATATAGACACAGAAGATACTGTAGCACAAGAGCCCCCATCAGGCACTACACATGCGGAAAGAAGCATGCCGAACTCATGGGCATCACGGCGCACACCAACAATGCTGGAAGCGAGGACATAACACGTAGACTGTAGACTGGCTGCAGGAGGACAGCGCTCAGTCGTTTACCAAAAGTATTTGCCCATGACAGGACTTCGGCAACACATTGCGTCTGTACCCATGGCACAGCCTTTCGCGCCTCTGACTTCCAGGACTGCCAAGCATTTCATGTTGTAAAGAGGAATCATACATGTACTACGCGCACCACATCTGCCGCTTGACGCCACTTGTCACGATCATTGGCGGCAAGCTATTTGAGGCTGGGCTTGGCGTGCCCCGGCTCATCCGCCCAACCCTGGCTGACAACTGACACGCACTAACGGTGTTGCAAGAGCTGGCAGCGCGGCCTGCGCAACATGCCCTTCAATGCTGCCCATGCATTCAGGCATCAGCTGCTAGTGAGGCAAGGCCGCTGAGGGTAGCTGTACAGATCGTGATGTTCTACAAGCCGATTATCGGCACCCTCTATAGCAATCCGTTTGTAAGACACCCACCTGGACGCTCCAAGCTGGGTCATCTGGTTTTGTGCCTCAAAATTGACCCCCCCCCCCGCCACCACCTGATGCCAAAGAAACACCATAGGTAATGGGGATTTTGGATGTTAGGGGATGTAGAAACGGCCCTGTCTCCTCCTTTTCCGCCAGTCGACGCAGGGGAGTCTTGACCTATCAAAACCAAACAGCTTCAGCAGCAGGTTCGTTTGCTCATGCTTTGCTACGACTGTTTCTTGCTGATTCCATGGCTCCCATTGCTTCACGACTACCATGACTATGAACTATTTCTTGGTGACGCCTTGGGGCACTTTCATGTTGCAGGCTATGCCAAAAAAACTTTGTATAGGTTGGCGTTCAATACCTTCCTTCTGCATGGCGCATGGATGAGCACAGGCCCTTTGCAGCACGCGAGCCTTGAGTCCGTCCCTTTGCACTTCTGCGACTGATCCTCAGCCAGCAACGCCAGGTAGCCAGCCTTCCTATGTAAACTCCAAGAGGCTCATGGACATAGTCATAACAAAACTCGATCACAGAGACAGACCAGCATCTTTCAGAACATGATGCGGACAATACTCATGAGGATATCTTCTCAGCCAGGATGCCAGGAGGCCCGCTCGAAGTCACTGTGCACAGCGCTCCCTGGCAAAGCACGGAGTTGGACGTCAGCGCTTCTGGCTGTAAGGTTGAGGCTTACGGTGTGGGCTTGAGGGTATGGGGTGGATTTTGACACTTGCATGCCTCCAGTATGAAGTGACAGCCTGCTTAAAAAAAGAGAGGCGCGCTCGTCGCGTCCATGAGGGGGCTTCTGGGATGTCGTTGTATGAAAAGGATGGGGATAGAATTTTCGGAAACTTTATGCTCAAGTCCGGGACCCGACACAAAATTATGATAGTGTCAGTCCGCATGGAGAAAACTCAACAGCGCTCCAAATTGCGGCAGCACTTTTGGGGACGAAAAGCGCATGGGCCTGCACCCGGAAAACCCCTGGCACCGTGGCAGGAGCCTGGTTCCCAGTGCCAAAATCGCACATGTAGAGAGCACAGCTTGCAACATCAAATGCCTCAAACACACCTCTGAAAACGCCTTCCTGAAGCTGTGGCAGGAATAGGACTTCACGTAAACCGCAAGAGAAGGCGCCACGTGGCAGCCACACATTGCGGTTACCGCAACTAAGCCCGCTGTTCCACTTCCCGTCAGGTTGCCGGATGCTAACCCCACTGCTGACGTTGCTTTTCCAAGCAATCTACGACCGTTACTCCTCCAAACGTAAAGGCACCCTGGTGAAACCTTGCTTTGGGAAAGCAAGGATCTGAAAGTTCTGGGGTAATGTAGGGGTCCCACGGGGTACATGGGGGAATGGAAAAGACAAGGAAAACTAGTGTTATTCGGTATTCGGGGTAAGGACATGGACCATAATTTTGACAATCCCCCACATGAACCTTCATAAACTCCAGATCCTGACAAAATATCACCTCAGAGCCATCAGCTAAGAAGTCCTGGGAATATGGTAGTTTCCCAATATACTATAGTCCTTGTTATAAGGACCCCAACAGGTACCCCCCAATTTTGAGAAACCCCCACATTCCTAGCCCAGGCACGAGAAGGGCAAGCAGCCCAAGGCTAAAGCGTCGCATGTCCTTAGGTTCAGGACACAGTGAGGGTAAAGGGGCAGGTGCCATTTGATCACAGGGTGGGGTCCCACTATTCTTTCTGAGCTTACTGCCATTACTATTCGTTACCATTCGGATTTCATATCCTAAGAAGCTCCAAGATCGGCTTCCCGAGAACCCCGGTAAAGATTCCAAACGTCAACAACAATGGGTGGCGCATGCCAAAGTTGTAGTATTGTTGTTATTCTGACTATGATTACTATTTCTACTACTACAAATGCTACTATTACGACTTGCCATTAGCATATCCAAGCATCGTCGACGGACGCTCACTAGGATTGACCTACCAGCGCAGCGTGGGCAAAGCGGAGGCAACAAATGTCCAGAGCCAGCTGCGAGGCTGCGGGACCTGCCAATCCTGTCAACATGATCAAACAGAAATATATACTATATTACTAACCCCTATGTATCCCTTTAAAGGGACCTAGGGTTTCCATTTTCGTTTCCATTATCCTCCATATAACCAACAGAAATACAATGAGAACAAGAAGGATGATGATGGAGTAGAAGTCCTCCTCCCAACAATGATGGCCCCTCTCATTGTAGCCGCAGTAGCAGCAGAGGGAACATGTAGGATCAACAGCAGCAAGCACGGTAGTAGCGAAAGCAGCAGCACTAGAAGCTGCTACAGCAGCTGTTCAAGTGCAAACGGACATACTCAGTCATGGAAGAATCATAGAAGAAATCTGCATCAAGACCGCATGCCATCATTTCAAAAACGCTAGCACATTTCTGCATGTGACTGCGCCCCGCGCGCATTGTCGCACTTTTTTGCAACGGCCAGGTGACATAAAGTTTTGGAATGCTCCCACCGGCTAGACAGGTTCTCACTTAACCTGCTCTGCTGCTGTTCCTGGAGACAGACATTTGGAGCTTGTGGGCTTCCTCGACGCCAAGTCCAACTTCACGCGCGTTCACGCAAGAATCGAGGACGTCGAACACGTAAATGAGTGAAACCTGCCGCAAGGATGCAGCATTGGGCAACACCGTGAAAGCATGCAAACAGGCCGTGTTCGCCGCGTCCAGACTGCATCAAGATCTTGCAGGGCTGGAAGGTCCTGGCCTCGGGAAGCAAATGGAAACGCTGCAGCCACTGCTTTAAAATGTGGACAAAACTATTGCTAAGTGTTCATGGTGGTTAGCTTTTGCTCCTCGCTCCCTCTTCCACAAGATCGGGCCTGCAACTCTGTTTGTCTCCCAGCCAGAAAGCATAAATCCTACAGCCCAAGACACCAAACATGTCCACTCTAGACTCTGCGTAAATGCGCTGAAACATGCTTGTTCTACACTGAACATGGATTCCAACAGGCACACAGGAACAGGAGACCGCAGATCATTGTTCGAGCAACTCTCATTCATCTCCTCCTCCTGACAATACACCTCCCCACCCCCACCCCCTGATAATGAATACCCTTTCGTACCATAATATCAGTACGATTTGATAGTAGGGCGAGCACTCATTGTGAAGGAGAGGGGGTGGATTATTTGATATTCTCAGTGGCTCTCGCTTGTCGCGACTCCGGCTGCGACTGCGACCTCACGGTCTCAGGGATGAAGCAGGAATCCAAGCAAACCCCGAACCCTAAACCTTTGGGGTTACGGTCCTGGGGCCTACAGAGAGTTGGATAAGCGTCTTTCGCAAGGAAGTAGCTCAGAATTCTGGGGTACCCCCCTTCATTGGAGTCTGCTTTAAACAGCGTCCTGCTTCTTTTGGTGCATGGGCTGACCTTGCGTGCTTTGCAAGCTCATAAAAACAAACAAAACTCTCTGAAAAAGAAGCAAGCATGCGATCCAATGCCGCTGCTTTTGCTTAAGTATGTCTAGCAAAGAACCCTAACGCCCAAAGGGACTGTGACTTGACCAGCTTGTTTGCTTGGATGTTTGCATCCCATTGCATGGTTGCCTGCCGACGACCTGCAGAAACAGAAGGACATGTTGCAACATTACGAATCAAAGAACACTGCTTAGCGAGAAAAGAGACCTTCAACACATTCTGGTATATGCTGCTGGCATAATGCAATAATGTTGCGATACAGGAGTCGCCGGTACGTTGGTAGAGAGACTAAAAACAGGACCCGCAAATTCAATACCCCTTACACTCGCTTTAGTTCTTGTTTCTCCTCCCGCTCTGATCCTTTTCCTGTGTAACGCTCATCAAGTGGAACTCCTGATCCCCTTGTGCAGCTTCAAGCGACTTCTGCTCGCTTGCCCATCGGCTCGAGGTTCTGAAACCTCTATGGCCTTGGGGAACGGATGGAGGATGATAATTCATCTTTGACATGATGCGTTGGCTGACCACACCAGTGGCTTGGCAGGTCTGTGTTAAGGAAGTAAGCTTGCAATAATGCAGCCTACGTCCTGCTGGGCAGCGCGCATCCACGAAGCCTGTCATTAGTCGCTTGGCAGCCTGCCATCAGAACCCTGCAACTGCTTCAGCATGCCTGTGCTAATTAACATGCCCATGACAGCATTACACGCGAGTGAACAAGCCTTTTGTCCGTGCAACGCGGGCGATCTGATCTGCTCCGCTGCGGCAGGGTGACTTGCAGCGATTATTTGCTGAAGTCAGCCTCTGTACTGACATAAATGCTGCAACTCTGATGCCCGCACCTCCTTCTGCTCCAGCTTCACTGACCGAAGACAACCCAGTACAGTTAAATTGCTGTCCGTGGGGACATGCGAGCACTAGTCAAAACTCCTGCTGTAAACCGAGCCACCTGGCAGCCGCCATCCCATCATTACCCCCTCGTCAGGAGTTTAGACTGCAGCTCATGCGTTGAAAATGGCACAAGGATACAAAGCGGAGGCTCCAGCACCCGCTCATGGACAAAGCTCTGTACCTTGAAATGAGCTCGGCATCGCTGCTCGTGAGCTGGTGGCGTGTTAAGCTTTGGTACGGCCCTGAGATTCATGTCGGTTTGTGAGGCTCTGATGCATGTCTAGGTCTAGCGCATGAAGACCAGGTCGGCGCTAAGAAGCGCGGTTGGGGCCTCATACCGGCAGAAGCCCTGCCCCTCGCAACTATGAAAAAAAAAGAAAAGCTATCTGACTCCCATGCCAAGAAGGCACTAGCATCTGTAGATGTGCATGAGTAAATCTTTTGGGAGCTTTTTTGGAGATTGGCAGATTAGCTTCTGGGAGCAAGGACTTATGCCCGTTTGTTGCTTCGTCTCTTACGCACAGCCATGTCAGAGGTTGAAACGTCTACCGCGGAGTCCGCGGAGACAGCGGTTCAGTGGCGGCGGCGATGGCAGCCTGTCTGCGCGCCTGGTGCTGCAACACGTGTTGTAATCTTCCTCATCAACAAGAGTTCTTCATTGTTGGGTTTCAGGGCGGGTCCTCCATCTGAGCCAAGACGTCTCGAAGAGAGGGCCATATTTGCCTCGCAGGAAAAAGGCCAGGAAACAATGTCATGTAACTGCGATGGATGGTTCTAGCGTGTTCTAGCTGCCATGTACCATAACAGGCTCAGGCCACGACCCTTGCCCGGCACATTTCAAACAAAGGCCAGATCCTGTCCACAAACAGCCACGGCATCAGGTGGCAATGCGCCATCAAAAGCACTGGCCGCGAGATAGAGTTGGACTTCACCTTTCCCTGCAAATCAAACAGCGCATGGCGCCCCTGCAATGCAAAGTGATCGTCCGGGGAGGTCCCCGATTAACTCCTGGTATGTAGCCGGTAGCCACACCTACCACCTATTCCGTCGTTTCCCTCTTCAGGCAGGGCTTAAAGCCTGCATACGCAAGATGCCATCACATGTCCACCACCACCGTGCGTGGGAGCGCCCGCTGAAAAACCATTGACGGAGTGACTCATGAAGTCAACCAGCCCGCCTAGCTCGGCGGTCTCATGGCCTTGAAACATCCAATCATTGATGCAAGCTTTCCGACTTGGATAAAGATGAAACGATCAAGCGCGGCACTCCGTATAGAAGCCAGGAATGGTTGCTGCAAACCCTTCACACAAAAAAAAAAGCTGTAAGAATTGACAGCCCTGGCGCACTCAGCATTCTGAAAACCCATTCTCACACAAAGCCCCCATTGTGCCAGAAAAACCTGTCAGGCCAGGATGGCCAAAGTGGCTCATCTCTTGCTGCCCAGTTTCCGTAGACGTCAAGGCCATCACGCGTGCCTGGCAGCACGGCTTGGTTCAGCGAGTCGTTGCAGCTTCAGGGCTTTTAGCACTCGCATGGCCAAACCAGAAGGGTCGTGCGAGCTTTATAGATTTAGGGGTCCATCTCTGTGGGTGCACAGTTGCATCCAGCCTGAGCCACGCATGGAGATTGGGTTTTGACTCGGTGTCAAATAGGCTGCAGGCATTACATGCTGTTCGATTGACCTAGCAAAATGCACCCTGTATGGTCTGTGACACATCCACCAACACGCCCCGCTACCATTTCCAGTGCTGCTGCTGGCTTTGTTTCGTTTGGTAAGAACCTGGCTGCTAGCTGCCAGCTAGATGTTTCTGTCACCTTTCGGGATTGGACCAGAATCAAAGGAGTGGCACCGGCGCCTCCGCACGCGTGACATCCATACGCACAGCGCCCCCGGAACGCGTCTGCATCGGTGCGATTTTGCACCTCATCTCAGAGCAGGGTGTGTGGTTTAGGTCTTTAACGTCAAGTAACTGCAGCAGGACATAAGCAAACAGTGAAGGGCAACTCTGGGCCGAGCACGCTAGAAGACAAATATGTGACCGAGAGGATGCCTTCGCCTTTGCACCTTCAGGGGAGCTGTCAACTTTGGCACTCAGCAGAATGATTCGGCAACTTATGCACACGTCTTTAGTTGCGAGATGCGCCCACCTGTGACACAAGCCTGACCCAGAGCATGCAGAACAGGTCCATGGTTGCTTCAATTCTTCCATCAGCTGCTCCTGTCCAGGGTTGCCGCTTCGCATGCGGACAACTCGACCAAATGCACTGTGTCGCGTAATCTTATATAGCTCCACCGTAGGTTGCC